AGAAGGATGCTTATCATCCCCTTTCACATTACGTTACATGATAGAATAGAGCCCTACCCTTGGGAGAAACAGGATGTCATATGGTTCGTAATCTGTTATGAAAAGGATACAACGGAGTCATAGAGTCCTAAAGTCAACCCGTTCAATGAAACATGCTTTCTTATCGTGCGGATGGAAATCACATATAATTTTCATGCAGTTTCATTGGGTTGGCGAATCGTACACATTTGGAAGCGTGTGTTGTTTGTAGAGCAATATACTATGCGACCTTCCATGCTCATGTTGCTAATCTACTTGACCTTTCGAATCAAATGAAATAGTACTCAAACATGTTTAGTCAGATATTGAAAAAGTGCTCAGCCTTTATGGCCAAGTGTATTTGCCGCGAACCTCGATATTGGGAATCTGGAATACGTCCCATTGGTCCGAGACTTCTGGGTTTCCAAAAGGCTTGAGCGCTGCAAAACGCATACTACCGTTCATAAGACCTCGAATGTTAGACCAGATCATTAAAGAATAGGGGGCGATTTTTCTGCAATAGATATCAAGTACTCACGTGTATTTTCCAAGCTCAATCTGGCTGCCGTTCCCCAGCTTTCCAAACCACCAAAACTCATGGTACGAGTTCGTGGTCTGGGCGTTACGGAACAGATTATACTCCGGGAAGGTGAAGGTTTCGTTAGGGTCGTATAACGCCGGATTGAAGTAGCTAATTTGACCAGCTCCCACCCAAGATGCAGCTGGCCCAATGAAGCCATTTTCACCTGGAATGGGAGGATACTTCCAGTTGCGCTCGTTCCATCCAGCTTCGAAAATCTGCTCGTATGATCAGCATCAAAAGATCCTCTGGTATTTGTCTTTCTAGATCTTCACGTACATCCCATCGAATTTGGCTGGTGCCCCATTTGATCTTGGCGTAGATCTTAGGAAAATCTTGTTGGTTGAGGCTCAAGTCAAAGGTGTACCTAGAGAAATCAGCCTCTGGTATCCTAATTGCGGGACAAAATATTTACCAAGGCTTGTCTTTGATATCAGTGAATTGAACGCTAGATTTGGAGAATGGGTAAGTAACCCTCCAAATGGGATCCAGCTGTGTTTTCAAGTCGGCTCCGAGCCCTTAAAAGTAGATTAGAATCTTTGTACCCATTGTGGTCTCTGATTTTTCATACCTGCGTAAGGAACAGAAAGTTGTTCTCCCAGGCTGCTTGTGACGATAACTTTCCCACTGTAAAGAGGGAACAATGCTGCATTCCACCCCAGCTTGTCAGGATTATCAAAGCTCACTCTATACGTTGCCAGAGTTAGTCTTTTTCTTCGTACTACCTCCCGGCGTCATTAGCTGAGGATTTGCTTACGATACTGTCTTGGACTCCCCGGACTTTAGAGTAAAGTCGCGAGGAAGGGAGATCTTTGGCTCGAGCTCGATCGGGACCAACTCAGAGAGGCTCTTCAAGCGCCAGTCCTCGTAGCTGGCAAGAGGGTACACTCCAGCGGCTTCAACACCGGCGGCAGCCTGGTACGAGAACTTGTATGAAACCTCTTTGTCACCCTCGTTCTTCACAGTGATGTCGTGATATCGGCTAAAGTAACGTGTGTCGTTTAGCGCGATCTTGTCGAATTGGATATCAGTTGTATACTTGACAACTTTAAATGCATCAATGAGTCCGTTTCCAACTTGGAAGACTGGTGCGACAACCTCTTTTCCATCGTACCATGGTAGGGCAGTTCCACTAGCGATAATTCGCCTCGAGAGCCACTTGCCAAAGTCCTTGCCATGTTGCCCCCTACCTCCATGAGCGCCGATGTACAAGGCTGCGACACCAGCAATATAAGGGCAAGCCATGGAGGTTCCTGATAGGACGGCCCAAGCATCCTCGGGGTACGTGCTGAGAATGTTGCCTCCAGGTCCAGCGATGTCTGGCTTAAGTTGGAGTGTGTATGTCCCACCCCAGGAAGTAAAGTCATTGGGGCGACCACCCGAGGGATACTCGAGGCCAACTGGCTGCTCAGGATTGATGGTAAAGTCCACCGTCACGTTGCCCCCGGCCTTGATGGTCTCAATAATCGCCTCTCCTGATTTGGCAGTGATCAGGCCGAAAAGGGATCCATATTCTTCTGTGCCGGGCACGATGAGAGGATTCTCGTTATTGTAAAACAAGATGTAATTAGCACCAAGTGCTTGAAGATTAGCCTGCTTTGTCGCAAATGTACAAGTGCCTCGGCGAACAAGTGGGATGGCTTTTTCAATCTTGGGAGTGCCTTCAGGATACGGCTCGCAGCCATCTGCAGGGTCGGTAGTATCAAAATTATAGACAACCACAGGCCAGTCTTGAACTTCGGTGGGAAAGTAATTTGTGGCAGGGATGTATCCGAGTGTGGTGGTATTGCCGGTGCCGTCGAGACTGAAAGTTGCACTGAATGGCGAGGCAGGAAAGGTCTCAGTCTCTACAGAGGCCACAGCGATAACCTCGTTGCCACTGGAGCCTGAGCTTCCAAAGAATGTCCCAGCTGTACCGGAGTTTCCGGCACTGATGGTGACAATGACACCCTCTTCTACAAGTCTAGAGGCAACCACAGCCCAAGCACCATCGGACCAACCGCTGGTACCACCGATACTCGATGTGATGATGTCTACCTATAACAATGTGTCAATTACGGTGTTGTTTAAATGAACTTATTAAGAAGACTTGTCTTACACCGTCATCAAACGCTTTCAAGAATGCTTCAATGAGAACATCCTCGGTGGTTCCGGCCTAGGCTGAGATTAGTAACTTGTTCTGCGCAACCTCATTCGGGGACGCGGGCGGGAATAGCAGGTGCTTACAGAACGACTGAAGACCTTGTATGCATAGAGTTTCGCTTTTGGTGCCACACCAGTCCAGCCCCTGGGAGTGTTTTCATCAATGACCAGAGCTATAAGGAGGATGTGTGAAGATACTTACACCCCGTTGTCACCTGCAATAATTCCAGCGACATGAGTACCATGGCCTTGTTGATCAAGCGGATCATCATCGGGAGCTCTCTCCTCGCTCGGCCAGTCTTGTAGGTGATTTTAGTTGGGCGTCACGCATGATAATTTTCAAAGGTGGCCACTTACAGCCGTTCCCAACAAAGTCGTAACCCTGGGCCACCTTGCACCCGTCTCCGAAACAGCCTCCCAGCTAGAACCATTGTAAGTCTCATTGTCCATGCCTATGGACCTTGGGGAGGCCTTGGATTTCCACTTACAGCGGGATGAGTGTAATAGATACCGGTATCTACAACTCCGACCTTGACGCCTTCCCCGAAAATACCCGCGTCGTGTAGTTTGCTTACTCCTGTTGAGTTGTGTGTGGTGTACTTCGGATCGGAGGGGATCTCGGCGAGCACTTCGGGAGATATTGGCTCAAGTTGGAAAAACGTGTTGGGCCATACTCTGGAAACATCTGGCAATGCTTGAAGTTCTTCCAAGGTGTAGGTGCCAGTTTTGACACTGGCGCCTTGAAAAACAGAGCTATCAAAGGTCTTGACTATCTCAATATTATCCTGTGACAGTATTCCATCCCGCAGTTTTGCAGTTCCCTTTTGATAGAATGAGTCAGTTGCTTATCGGTAGATTATTAAAATGCAATATCATATACCCACAGGTGAAAATTCGACAATAAAGCTCTTCCCGACAGGGTTTGTTGTGTTTATAGGTAGTTCATCTGCTCGGTTGTAGATATTTGAGGCTGGGTTGCCGGTGACAGCAGCAACCCCAACCAGAAAGAGAGGAAGACTAATCAGATGCATTTCTAGAAACGCAAATCTCAATAACATGAGATCCTATGCTGCTCGGTCCCTGACTATCTTCAATTCAAGCCTTAATGAGTTGGATATTCCCTCATATATATATGTTGACCAGGCTCTTCTACACTCATAGAAGAATAAAATGGGGAGTGGAGTGTTCTGTCTCTTCCCTCGTCTTCCTAATCAACAGCAAGCGACACAACGACATTTCGAGCTCGTGTTGCACAACGGTTATGTGTGATGAGGTGCTATGCAACATCAACGTTAGGAGTGGTGATCTGCAGCGATATCGTATTCATAGGACCTGCCAAACAAGGAAACTGGATACTGGCCGACCTGCATGGCGTCGACCTCTCTAGGGCCATTGCCAAGGAATACAAAGGGTCTTATCAATGGATCACTCGTGTTTAAAGTAGTATTTTCACTTCTAACTAGCGACTAGCACCGGCAACTACCGTATTAGGCGCAGAAAACCGGTCTACTCTAAAGGAATTCCTGCTCTCGAATGCAGTTCTAAAAAGGTGTGGTTGAAGTTACATTCTACCCACATCAAAGCAACTACTAAAGAAGTGGGTAATCCGGTGATACATGCTGAATAGACTCGATGTGAAATGAATTCAAGTTGCGGAATTGATAAAACTTTTTCGCTTTACGGTGCATCTCCTAGAAGACACGGATACTTCCTGCTTTTTCATTGCATATCACGGACTCATTCAAAATAATACGAATGGCCAACAGACATTTACATACCAGGTATGTATCGACTGGTAGCTGGCGAGCGGTGTGCAGGTACAATTAGGCTGTATTGTTTCTCAACCCTTGTATATGTTACAATGCCAAGAGAATCTCGCTTCTAATCACCGCACAGTTGATTATGCCCGCGGTACCTACATGAACGGATAAGTGACGTGCCGGCTATTCCGATATCGTCACAAAAGACGATATCCGAGCTGATATGGCGGCATTTAAGCTAGCTTGAGAACGAGGTTGCTATGTGCTTTCAAAAGTTTTCATGGGCTAATCACCCTAAGTATGTAACGTCTAGCGAGAATTCATTTGTCTCGACCTACCAGTACATGCAACATTCTTAGCATCAAGAAACTGTATAACTTACAAGTAAGAATGAGATCCTCCGGGAGTTGTGAAGCGGCTTTCCATGGACAGTACTTATCCACTTGAATAGTACGAATATCTGTGATCAATATCAAATATCAAGAAAGAATTTTCAAATTTCAAGCTCCATCTTCTTAATCATATGTTAGTAAAGTGAACAAAAGCCTTCGAATTAGTTGCTCTTCACTGTCCTCCCGCCTTCTTCTTGGACGACAACCTAAGCCAGTAAAACCAAACGTTGTCAGCATGTTCGCAACGACATAGCTCTCCAGTATGGTGTTGACGCTCGCCACGGGGCAGTAGTGACACTCAGCCGGATCAGAAGGGTTCAGCACTCGCTCCCCGGAGTCCCGGACAAACGCGGACAGGTACTCGCCGCATGTGAGTCCGAGAGAGTTGTTTGCCACGGGTATGCTCTGCACCTCGGTCGAGGAGCAGGTCAGATCTATGTCGGCTAGGCCGGCCACTGCGAGCCCCTCAAGCAGGTACGTGAGGGGCGAGACTCGATACATGAATATCCAGAATCTGGCGAGCTGGCTAGGGGGTGTGAGGATGCTGGTGGAAGATCAGCGATGTTCAATCTTTACTTGCCTTCGAGAAGACTTACCCGTAAAACAAAGTGGCTAGCCAGTATATCAAGGTGGCGATTGCATCGCCACCTCTGAGAACTCGATTGAGGCGGCAAATAACTGTGACAGAGTGCTTGCCCAGAGGTTGAACAACCAGATAAAGACAAATGACAACGCACCGCGTTCCGTGGTTCTGAGACGGCCATTACTGTACTGGTAGAGCTTTAGGGAGTAGTACCAAACGACAAAGATGGGTACGGCGATTATGGTTTGCCAGAGCAGCAGCTCCATGAGGACGTTGGATGCGATGAAGACGACCTAGGAATAGGAACGGGAGTGCCGTTCGCGCCCTTCGAATAGGGCCCTTCCTTTGATGAAGTGGGGGATGGCGAGAAAGTCAATACAGCTGAATAGATGTGTGATGAGAAAGATTGAGAACAGGAGATTGATGATGCCCTGCATATCAAGAGCGGCGTTATATAATGACATGCCGTTTGCAAAAGCCTGTCTTTAGTAAGTACCTATGTCGAAATGGGCTAGGAATAGGGGTAGAATCATACAAGGGATATGGACAGCACAATTTTAGTGAAGAGATATGTTGAGTCGCGCCATTGATTGAAGAATATGCGTTTTGACACAACTATCATCTGCCGAGGGAGGGATGCTACAAAATCGTCGTCGTTTGTGGCTGCTTGCACTGAGATGGCAGTTCTCGAAGGCAACTCAGCCAGGCTCGTTAGATGATCACGAACTTCTTGTCTCTCCTCACTAGAGATCCATTTTTCTGACCAGCATTCCGCCGGAGAAGAATCATCACCGTCTGGATCTTCTGTCTTCGGTCTGACACCTGTGACGTCCAGCATCCACTCAGCAGGATTGACGCCAGCTGGGCAAGCCGAGGCTCCATTGGGCTCAAAGTACCGGATCACAGTAGAGGCCTCATTCCCTATGTCGCCAAAGTAGAGTGTTCTCACGTTATTGCCAAGCAATGACAGTCTGTCAAACATCTGGAATAGCTGAGAAGATGGCTGATGGATTGTGCAAAGGGTAATCTGGCCGGTGGTGCGCCAGTCTCTTTAGTAACATGCAGATGGACCAGGCAGATTGACTATCTAGGCCAGATGTAGGCGCGTCTAGATGTAGGAGGAACATGATTAGTGACCTAGGTGATCAAATCAGGTTCATTCATAAAATATACCGAGGAATAGGAGAACTTCTGGCTTGGCAGCCATCTCGACGGCGATTGTCAGGCGTTTGCGTTGCTCCACGTTGAGGTTTCCTCCAGCCTCACTAACCAGCACATCGGCAAACCACTGCATGTCCATGCATGTCCATCATATCCATGATGTACTCAACGTAGTTGACCTTCTCCTCCTGGGGCACATCCTGTGGCTGTCTGAGGAATGCGCTGAATTGCAAGGCTTCCCGAACCGTGGATGTAGGAAGATGATTATCATCTTGTTGGACATAGCCTAACTTTCGCTGGAACGAGTGGTTGCGTTTGAGTCCATTGATGAGTATGTCCCCGCTGACTGTGCCGGTCATGGTCCAGCCAGCCAAGGCATTTAGCAGAGAAGTTTTTCCAGCACCTGTGACGCCCTATGTTTGGCATTGCAGTTAGATATGTACAACTTGGAACCTTCAACCTGAGGACTTACCATCAGCGCTGTGAGAGTACCCGCCGTAACCCAGCGGTCGATGTTACTCAAAATCACGCGATGTTGTTTCTTTGTCTTGATTTCGTAACTTAGGTTGGCCCATTGGAAGACTTGGGACTGGGCGGGAACCAGTGCAATTGGCCCTGTAGACTCTGAAGAGACTTTTGATGTGTGACTCGATTTCACTTCTTCCGGGACTGAATCCTTTTTGGGTTCTCCTGATGGCCGTGCGGGGGCTCGTTTCACCGTGGCTTGCCCAACAAAATACTCGGATGCCAAGAGGTAAACGATGAGAAAAATAACCAGCATCGCTAATAGAATTCCAAAGTTGCTGAGTATCTTCTGTTATCCTTTGCATGGCCTTTGAATGTCTAGGGGGGAGCCGATGGGACCATCTTGCTCTTACAACTCGCTGCTTGCCATTCGCCCGGCTCATGTGCCCGTTCGTGGCTGTTGGTTTCCAACCTTTGCACCAGGTACCTCCCTATTCATACCTATTCATCCGGTACCTCTTCATGCAGTGTGATGGCCCTCACTGGCACTCGACTGCAGATTCTTGGCCGGCTGCCTAATTAAAGCATCCATTGTACACATGAGTTTGGCTGCAGCTGAGAGTGGCGCAGTCTTTCTCTGCCAGACACTCGCATTTGCCAAGCAAAGAGACAATAAGAACAATCTTGGCCTCTACTTTAGCGGGACCAATCACAAGTGGCTGAATGCAGGCTTATTAGGACATGTTCCGAATCGTCGCTTCATCTTTCCTATTCCATTCATGAGGCGGTCATGAGGCGGTTGGCTCTTACTCTCTCACCTACCATCATCTGCCTTTCCCTCATTTCTTCGCCTCTGCACCTCCAACACCCATTCGCTTCACAGTGAACGCCCACGAGATCTTGCCGGCATGATTTTGTCAAGCTCGTCGGCGACAATGGACCAATTCACCGTGGTGTGCGTCACCACTGCCGCGCTCTGGCTTGGATGGAGGGTCTGGAGCTTCACGCTGTGGCCCATGTTGCACCCCGAGCTCCCCAGGAGATACCCATACCTGGTTCCTGGTATGTAGCTTTTGGCAGATGCGAAGATTAAAAGCATCATATTTCTAACGGGTATCATGTCCAGTGGTCGGTCATATCAAGGCAATGGTCAATCATACTGGCAGGGTCTTCACGCGCGGAAAGTAAGTATGCCACCATTCAATTGATTTCGTTCTTTAACGACTTCCTAAAACTCCCACGACACTGGGCATGTAGAAGAATATATGCTAAGGCCATTTATAGAGCTTATTTTGGCAACACGCGCGAGATCTTCAGCCTCGTCGTCATGGGAGAGGAACTGTACGTCGTCACCAATCCCTCCGACATCCAAGAGGTCTTCAAGCAGGCCGCAAGCCTCGACCATGACGCCATGGCCGTAGACATCCTCCTCGACACGGGCATGACCAAGGAGACCATCACCCAGATCTTCGAGCCCGTCTACCGATCTAAGAACTACATCAAGGCGACGCATGACGATTTCAGGCTGCAGATGCACCCCGGGCCGCGCCTCGACAAAGTCCAGGCGGATTTCCTCGCGCACATCGACAAATCTCTCCGATTTGACAAAATCAGCGGGCCGATGGTCAAGTCGCTGCCAACTGGCGGCAAGGTCGTTTCCTTGTGGGAGTGGTGCGGCCAGATTCTCATCGACTCCGCGATCGAGGCTTTCTTCAGCAGGGCGCTCTATGAGGCCAATCCAGACATGCTTCAGGACTTTGTCAGCTTCGACGAGGAGAGCTGGAAGCTGCCCTACAGGCTGCCCAAGTTTGCTGCCAAGAAGATGTACGGGTCGATGGACAAGTGCATACTGGCCATCAGCAAGTGGCTGGAATATCCTAAGGAGAAGCGGCAGGCTGCGTGGATCGTCGACCAGATGATTGAGGGTCTGGACGAGGTCAAGGTTACTGGTTCTTATCAGCGCGGGGCTATGGTGTTTGTGCTATTCAGACTGTAAGTTGCTTGCTTTCCATTCCCGCCGAACTCGGCACTGACAGGAACCAGGGTCAATACCAACGCATTCCGCCTTTGCTTCTGGTGTCTGGCGTATCTCCTGTTTGACCAGGAGCTCCTCAACGTCATCAAGGAAGAAATGCAGCCCGCGTGGAATCGCGAGGGCGAAGGCAGCCTTGACATGCAATATCTTCTTGATAAGTGCCCCCGTCTCTCTTCGTTTTACGAAGAGGTTCTCCGCATCACAGTTGATAGTGTCGGGGCACGGGTCGTGATGAAGGAGACGATGATCGGAAACAAGAAGCTTTCTGCCGGGAGAAAGGTCCTCATGCCCTTCCGACAGGGACACTACGATCCCGAATTCTTCGGGTCCGATGCTGCCTCTTTCAACCCCACACGATTCCTCGACAATGAAAAATTGACCCGCAGCGCAAGCTGGAAGCCTTTCGGTGGTGGCCAGGCTTGGTGCCCTGGACGCTTCATGGCCCGCCGTGAAGTGTACATGTTTTTAGTTGTTGTACTTTTCCGGTTTAATACGGACCTGTACTCACCAGATCATCGCACACCTGAGTTCCCAGTGTTGGATGACTCGTATCCTTGGGGGGGTATCCTTACACCAAAGCCAGGTCAAAAAGTACTGGTAGAAATTTCAAAGCGAGTATGAAAGCTGAACCTACAAAGAACCCAATTGGAACGGGTGGACATCAGGGTGTCTGCTAGATAGGAAAGATATAATTAATTTAGAAAAGCTTATGCCATTAGCTCAAATGTTTATCAATGATTTCCCCCTTCTTATAGATGGTTTGATCTGAGAAAAAGGGAGGGTGAGCGGCAACCTCTCTGGGTTTCCAATTCTGCTTGATTGGATAAACCTCCCTTTTACTATAGTATCAGAGTTAGCAAGTTATACTACCCTCAGGGTTAGTATATTTTTGTTCCCCCTTTAAAGCAAGCTTAATTTTTCAAGGTGAGAAAAGTAGAAAAGTTAATAATACAGAGCATTTAAAATTTGAGCTATTACTTCTTTAAAAGCATTAGTTATTTATTAAAATATAGTTAATAATATATTAGTACGATATTAATCCCTTATAAAATTATTTTCGCTGTCTGAACAACTCCATGAGGGTCTCTTCAAACACTTAGAAGCGCGTTATGTGTTGCTGGCTGGTCGCTTGGCAGCTTCAAAGCCATATAAATCTCTCGTTCTTGAAATCTCTAAGGCTGCCTTGGGGAAATATCGTTAATGGGATAATATCTGTTACGTATGTCAAAGTTCTTCGTTTGGAAGTAGGCTTGAGGATTGCTGAAAAGGAATCTTAAACCTAGGTCCCGGAGAAAATGATTTGCGTAATCTCTCTCTATCTTAACAGAGGATCAACATGCTGATGCCAGGATGGATCAGTACATAATAATCAAGACCACCTCTTCTGTCAGTCTATTGAGTGATTTGATACTAGACCAACTATATACTTCTTATTGGTAAAATTAAGAAAAAGAAGACACTGGTAGATCGGGATATCTCACCTAACTGAAGTTTCGATGCTGCAAATTTAACGTGCCCACTCTTTGATTGGCCCCCGTACCGCAGATATCGAGGTTCCAAACAACACTTGAATTCATTAAGCTTCATGTATTCAACTTCACAGATATATCGCACTACTTCGTGATTGGTCAATTAGCTCTCGTACCTTGGTGCTAGCGTTAATATATTAAAATATTAACTAGCATACTAAAGTCGAGAGGGAGAGCAGGTGACTTATGGAAATAAAAGCTATATCGCATGTTATGATAGGTAATACTAGATAGTGTGTTAAAAAGCCACAAGTTGCTTGAAGAGAATAACTTAAGATGATGGTATATGAAATTAATTCCTATCGCTTGAGGCAACCCAAACTGAAGACTGCGTGAGGTTTCCCCGTCATTGCAACAGCCTCTGAAAGAGTAGGGAACTTTGGAAATCAATGCTGCACGGCCTTTGAGTCCGTGACGTTTTCGTGTTCTTCTACATCCGTCAATGCCTTCCTTGCCGGAATACCTTGTGGTGGCAATATATTGTAATGAGATGAAAGCTGAAACAATGCTTTGCGGCGCAACAGCGTCCAGTGCCTCGCCACATCTGCAACGATCAGCAAAGGCGGGTCCTCTTGTCAGCGGAGCATTGCTCATATACGCTGAGCTTCCATCCTCGGCAATGATTAACTTCTCAAGTCAGCTTCTCTGGGACTAAGGTCCCTCCAGAGGATGCAATGCAATGTTGCAATAAAAAAGTATCAACGAATACAGAAAGTCGATTGCCATTTAGATTATGCATGTTAGAGGGGAGAGGTGAGTTCTATATAAGGTGATCCCATCTTCAATTCAATGTACTCATCCCAGGTCTATGCACTCTCGCACTCTCTTTGACCGAGAATTCATTCATTCCGCCCCTCTTTGATCACATATCTTCACTCTTTCTATTTTCAAAATACCCAAGATGCATGTGCTTTCTCTGCTCTCGATGGCCACACTGGCTCTAGCGGCTCCCAACATGACTAGGAAGCGAGCTGAGCCCGCACCGCTCTTCAAAGCTTTGGATAACAACCCTAGTGCCAAAGTTATTCCCGGAAGGTATCTCGTGAGGTTGAGTGAAACAGCTGAGGCACCTAGTATTGCACAAACACACAATGCCGTTCATACATACAGCTCAAAAGGGCTCAAGGGTTTCGCCGCTGAGCTTGATGATGATGCTCTCGAGGCTGTTAGAAACAGGCCTGATGTAAGTCACCGAACATGTTTCTGCCTAGGTAAAGATCCTTATGTTAACTTGATGGTAAGGTTGAGTATGTTGAGCAAGATCAAGTGATCAACTTGTATGACTATATCTCTCAGGAAGATGCACCATGGGGTCTTACTCGGATCTCACACCAGGCTCTTGGCTCTACGAATTATGTGTACGATAGCTCTGCCGGGGAGGGTATCTGTGTCTATATTATTGACACAGGTATCAAGATCGATCATGAAGAATTCGAAGGCCGTGCCGAGTGGCTGCAGAACTTCACTGACGACGGCAAAGACGAGGATTCCCTGGGACACGGAACATGGGTTTCTGGTCTTGTTGCCTCACGCTCATATGGTGTCGCCAAGAAGTCCAAGGTCTTTGCTCTCAAGGTCTTCGCCGAAGATGGCTCAGCCACTGGAGCGGGCATCATCGCCGCCATGGACTTTGTGGTCAGTGATTCCGCTAAGCGAGATGGCTGTCCGAAGGGCTATGTAGCCAACATGTCTCTCGGTGGCGGCTTCAGTCAGACCAGCAACGATGCAACTGACGCCATGGTCAAGGCCGGCGTTTTTGTTGCTGTAGCAGCCGGAAACGATAACGTGGATGCTGCGGGCACATCACCAGCTTCTGCCCCGTTGGCTTGCACAGTCGCCGCGTCAGACTCGAACGACGCCAAGGCTTCCTTCTCTAGCTATGGAGGCGTTATTGATGTATGGGCCCCAGGTGTTGGCCTTGAGTCCACTTCATACCAGGGAGGCTCGGTAAGTTGAATTCCGCTTACAATTCAAGGCGCTATGCAATTCCAGGAACTGACCGAAAATTTCTAGACTTCCGCGTCTGGAACATCCGGATCCAGCCCTATAGTTGCTGGTTTGGGAGCATATCTCATGGCTTTTGAAGGCCTAAGTGGTGGAGAAGGGGTCTGCGATCGGATCAAGGAGCTTTCGGTCAAGGGGGTGCTCAGCGGTGTTCCAGAAGGCACAGTAAATCAGCTTGCTTTCAATGGTGCCTCATCATAGATATGATTCTACGGAATAAGCAGGTGGTAATACATAGTAACAATTGCTTGAAAGAGTTGGTCCCAAACTAGCCCTGGAGATGTTGCGGGTTTCATGTGCCACTCCCGAATTGGAAAGAATCAGGGATCAGGTTGACAGTCAATATGTACTTGGTAACCAGGACAACAATGAATCAAAGGAAACGCCTCTCCAATCAAGCCCTGGCTTAAAAGAACACTGCCACTCTGGGTATTTCCGGTCTCTCTCCGTTTCATTGACATGGGGCACTGGCCGCAACCTTCTTCTCTTGGCAGGACGAAAACATGAAATAAGCTGACACAACAACCCTGTCTCAGCCTTTAAGCGGCAAAGAGAGGAACAAACTTATTTAGGGCTGGACAAATCCCCTAAAATAAACCCAGTTTAGTGAGCTGGCAGACCAGATTGGTGGTGACCTACCTCTAAAACTTGGGTTGTGGTTATGGACGCTCTCTATCGCTTTTAGCACCTCAGCTGAAGCAGAAGTTCTAGACGATAATATGAAGTACCTGGTACAGTGAAGCTTCAGCTTCCAAGGTTGCTAGCTAGGCTTGACTGAATGTAGAGGGTTGAAGAAATTAATGGGGCGGCATAAGGAGTTAGACAGGCATCGCAGGTTCACAACAGTTTGGGAAGCTTCAGGGATGCCGCTATCCACTCTGAAGCACCTACCGGTAGTTGGCTAGCCTGCCTCATCACATGAATGGGCAAAGAGCTCTTTGAACATGCCCATGCCAATGTCAGACTTGCACTCGGGTACTGCACGCGTGCCAGCTGCGTTGCTAACTGTATCTCGTTGGAGGGACTCTCACCGTTTTCGCCAAGTTTTGCAGCAGTAATGAATGCGGTAAGATTCGAGGTAAACAAAGATTACTGAGGCATTCCATAACAGTGCTGTAGCAGTACGGGTACTGACTCCGGACGAGGGGTTTGCTCATCCATGCAAGCCTTGGCACCGAACGCATTGTTTATTATAACATCTCAAGTTCTCATAGTTTCATTATCTTGAAACACCTAAAAAATAATATGCTTTACTTGGGCTTTGAAGTAACCCAATTAGCTAATCGCCATGGCTCGTGCGAGCATTGAGCTTCCTCTTATGACGCATAACGGCCGTCCTGATACGTTACAAACAGCCGCCAAAGATAATCAAAACACCCAAAAAGCCGGTGCAAATTGGACAAATGCAGAATTTCAACCACCACACACCGAGCCGGGCCTTGGTGCAGCGACGGAAACTAAGATGGCGAGGGAAACAACGCCGTTGACCACAGATGCACCTTTCTTAGATCGCAAACCAAAGAGTCAAACAAGTGGAAGTAAATGGCGCCCATTTTGGCTGCATTCGCGCGTTCTCTTGCTCTTTCTTGCGTTCTTCATTGCCTGCATGATCGCTTTGCCGGTCTTATTGTCATACTCTTCCAAGCACAAGGGCATCACAGACGTGCGGCAAGGTTTCGAAAAGCCATGGAGATTTATTTCAATTGCTGGTTCGTCCTCCCTTCCAATGCAATCTTGAAACGGCACAGTATCTCATTATATTCACAGTGCTCACACTGGTTGCCATATTTTGGAACCGAGTTGAGTTACAGGTTTTGCGCTACGCTCCCTGGATTGCGGCACAACCTAGCCAACCAAATGTTGATCGTGCAATGCTAGATCTAGATTATGTTTCGATGATGCCGCCTGTGGCACTTTTCCAGTCTTTGAAGAACAGACATTTCTTGGTATTCACTGCTGTCCTCACCTCTATCATCTGTAAAGCTCAGATCGTTCTGTCTCCCAGTTTGTTTTATTCCGAAACTACGAGGTTCACGTATCCTGTTGAAGTCCAACTTTTGGATTCTTTCGACACTTCTTTCGATGTACAGCAGGACATACGAGAGGGGACCGGCAATACTGCCGAGAAAACAGGTCCCTACTATAACTCACGAGCCGTCCGGAAGTTCGACCTAGAGCTTCCATTTGGAGTCTCCGAAGACGCTGCCTATCAAACCTTCAGCTCAGGAGCAGCCGGAGACACACGAGGTACGACCCAGTCTCCCGTGACAGCGTTAGTCGATGCGCTGTTCATGGATATCGAATGTCTCAAGCTAGAGAACTACACAGCTAGTCGAAATCGCACCGAGGAGGGTATTTTTTACGCCAACCTTGAGTTGAAATTCGAACAATGTGACCAGCCTTTGTCTGTTTCGTCATTATTCTTCTATTTACAGAACGCGAACGTCAGTACGCTTGTTCCGCCAAACTTCTGGGCCATTGAAACCTTGAGTGAAAAGCATTGCTCCGTACTTCCGACACAATTCTCGCCTTTCATTTACTATGGAGCGCTACCTAAGGGGAATATCACAGAAGATACCTCAACCGTTGAGATGGAAGCATTCGGGGCCCTCATGTGCGCGCCCAAGTCGTGGATATCTCAGGTTCGAGTCACGGATAACGGTGTCAAGCCAATTGTGTCATCGTGGGGGTCCGAGCAGCAAAGAACCCCTTTCAATGTAAGTCTCTGGGACATTATACCGGGCTCATTATCGAACGATATGGGACATTGGTTTCCCAACCAGGCTCGTGGCAGCAGCGGTGCTATAGGGCCTGTCAACGTCGAGTCTCGTTTATGGGGCAGAACTCCCGTGGCCAACGACACCGCACTTTATCAAACCAGCGTCTTATATGAAGCAACCAGGAATATGACAAAGTATTTTGGGCCTATGGCTGCCCATTATAGATTGAAGTTGGCCAATGATTTGGCCGATAATTCCGCTCAAAAGACTGGTTCCACCACTAGGGCGAGACTGAGACTGAAGGCCAACCGAGGAGTGTGCATTGCCATGACAGTGCTATTTTTCGTATCTGCAGCAGTCGCATTGTGGTCTATCGTTTCACTGCGCATGAATTTGAAGCCTTGGCATAGAGATCCCGCAACAATACTGGGATCCATGATCTTCTTCGACAGGCAAAACGTTGACCAAGCTCCAGTGATGGAACCGTTGCTAGATAAACCAGCATCAACTCTCTCTGAACAGGGCGGTTCAACACATACAATGCTGCCTCTTCGGACGTGGGTTCGCTCGACCTATCTTGTTTATGTTATGGGGCTTATAGTAGCGCTTGCTATTACTCTCCATATATCGCAGTCATCCATCGGATTGACAACAATAGATCAAGGGACATCTCCTCTTTGGTGGGCGTCGCTCCCTGCACTCGCGATGGCTATCGTCAGTTTATATGCCACCTCTTGCGATACAGCTGTACGCGATATCGCTATTCTATCGAAACTATCGTCAACACCCTGCAACGCGATGGAGACTGACATGTCGTTGTTGGATATGCTAGGTTTCACAGCTCTCTACTACTCGCTTCGCCTCAGACTTTACACAGTAACTGTCACACAAATTCTTGCCATTGTCTGTGGAGTTCTGGTGTCTCTGTCAGGAATTCTTTACAGTTCCCAGCATTCCCCGAAGAGCACTCCCATCAGTTTCGAACCAACGAGCTGGTTTGGCTATCGGACACCACTGGTTGATCCCGTCGAGACATATATGGACCTTCAGCCCAACGAATATGAGGTCACTCGCAACGATTTGAGCAGCCTGGTGCTGGCTCAGAATACTTCCACGATCAAGTACCCTCAATGGACCTATCGTGATCTCGTATTCCCGTCATTTGCGATAGATGACGCCGTTCAATTCAAGGATAGCGGCGCCTCCGTCACGGTAACTCTACCAGCGGCGAGACTGACACCTGATTGCATTCATTTAAACAAGACCGCGGTTGAGAAAGTCATAACCTGTCCAAATGGAACAGAGGTCTCTTACAACCTGACAAGTCTTTCTCGGAGTACTGGATATTATGCATCCATGGTGTCTGGTGAGCGAACACCAGGCGTCATTCGGATGGCCTGCGACCTTGAAGCGGATGAGTTGGATGATCGTACTTGGACATACCTGGACCAGACTTACTCTTGGGGAAGGGTCTCCAACTCAGGCACCAATCATTCCACCGAGTGGAGTTGTAACTACACCTGGGCTGAGGTACCTACCGAAGTTACATTTCACTGGGTAGATGGAAAGGCCTCAATTGACTATGACAACCCTCCAATTGCATCATACGATCAGAGCAAGCCATACGATCCTCCTTTTAGTATTCCCATCTTCTCGCAGGCCTACACTGCTGTCTATGGTGCTGTTTTTCCACAGTTCAACCTCCCAAATTCAGATGCATTACAAGTTGGATACGAATTCGCCTACTTAGTAGAGCCATTCGGGTCTATCAAGCTGGAGGATCTAGCCGACGCGAACCAAGAGGAAAAGATTCTTGAAGCTCTACACTATAGTCGGGCGCAGATAGCAGCTCAGCTCGCAAATCTAGAGCACCGACTGGGTCTCGATGAGAGTTCAGGAGCCCAGCCTGCGCAGCACGGGAAGCTATCTCGCATCGAGGGGAGTGTCACAAATAAAAACAGGTATCGGCTGATCCAGAGTTTCGAAATAACCATGGCGCTCATAGTTTTGTTGTCAATCTTTTTTGTCGTCAATCTATGGGCACTGATATCCGCGGCGTTGATGCATTTCCTAGCCAGCAAGTTCCCTCTCCTCCTTGATCTGGAGCTGAAAGGCAAAGGGCACCATGGCTTAAACAGTATCAGGATGACTGATTCTCTCCTTTCCGAGTCGAATTACTCTGATTATCTTCCCAAAAACGCCGCCTTATTGTCGCTGAGGGAATTGTATCATCAGCTAGCAGGGGTTTCCTTTAGGATGGGCCGATTTCGGAGAAAGGATACGAAGACGGCTGTATATACAGTTGCCGTATTAGACAACAGTAACCTACAGCCATTGGATAATTGATGAGAACATTGGTAGAGGCTGTGGGAAATCACTTGGGGCAATGGGCAGATGTCTCAGTAATAGCAAGTCGGTGCCGGCCGATCACAAGAAAATGATATTCAGAGTCTACCTAATGAAAATTTGATTTACACGTTCATACAACACGTTCCATGGCCCGTACTGGGAAAGCAAAAGGTCCAAAGCCCCAAGAATCCATTTAATTAGAGCTGAATCCTGCTATAATGTAGTCTTAGGCAGGTTCAAGTCATTCAGGAGAGCTATAAGTGATATAAACACTTGGGCAAAGACTCTTAATCTTCCATGTGCCTACCAAGCTATTAAATTGCGTTTTTCTTCTGTAAATATCAAACTAGATGGAGTACTCTTACAATTGAAATCACCTGCCCTGCTGCTACGCACGTTTATAGCAGCTTTAACTGGAATTTTCCTCAGGAAGGCTTGTTTAATTTGAGGCCCTCCAAATAATAATAAAATCTTGCAGCTTTTCAAGTTATTATTTATCAACATTAGGGCTTATGTGGGAAGTTGAAACAGCGAAACACCATCGTAGTCTCTGGTGTTTGATGGAATAAGATTTGATGGTCACATGATCCGATATTACTCCTCCAGGATGAATTACGTAAATATTCAGGCGACATTGCCACTTGCTCATCCACAGACGAGCGCGATTCTTTCCAATAAGACACAGTCCATCGCGAGTTCAACTCAGCGGATTACCTACATGGAGAAACTCAGTGTCGAAATAATAAGGCTCGTCATTGACGAGCTGCAACTCAGTCTCCTCGACGGCGAGTGCCCAACCCCAATCTCAAGATCAAAGCCACATCTTGCACCATATGCAGCAATATCAAAAACATGGCAGGCGTTGGTTGAAGACCGAAACTTTGCATTCCTACAAATTGAGAGGGGCGAGCTAGAGGCTTTTTCTGAAATCATCGCTGCGCAGCCTCACCGGCGGACATGTCTTCGTCGCATCCATCTGATTCTCTCAGAGCCCAATGGCGAATCTTTCCAATCTGGGATCCGCTTTCTAGCCCAACTTCTAGACGAATGGGATCGAAATGTGGTTGATGATCTCCTTCCGCAGCTGAAGGTCTCAATAACTGGCTGGGGCGAGACGCGTTTTGACGATGCCAGTCTGTCGCAGATGCCTCTTATGCGACGGGTGACTTCTTTCTTTAGCCACTCGGGGATGCGTCATGGGACGATTTACCCTGATGTAGCGCTCCAAATTGCAAGTCGCATGCCTCGTCTTGAGACGTTGGCCGTACAATTCCAAGAACCGAGTCGGCCGCTTGAGCATCGACGCCTTGCTCGGTTTCAATATCGGTGTCAACTGGGTGAAGCTCTACTTCAGCTACAAGAAAGAAATTGTCTCTCCAGACTGAAGCATCTCGGGCTCAACCGGTTCGGCTATGGCCCTCTAAATCATAGCTTTGAGCTCGAGAATGTCTTGGATGAGGAAGGCGTTGATCGGCTTTGCGAGGCGGTCCGCATATTCGCACAGAGGTCAACCTCCCTGGAGAAGCTGGTCCTAATCAATATTCTGATATCGCCTGACCTTTTTCGAAATACCCGAATACCTAGTACCACCGAAGAGCCTACATGGCCAACCATCCAACACCTTTTTATCAAGAGCAACATTCTGACACCTAGCGGCGAATGGTTGTACACAGGATCGCCCGATTCCATTCAGCCAAGGTGGGTTCGCTATCGCCAAAATAGCGTTGTTGATTTCGATGAGTACAGCGAGGTGGATGATTCGGAGGATGACATGGAAGACTTTCCCACGGCTACTGATATGAACCCCCATCATCTTTGGCGAACACAGCCAGACCCGCAAGTTCTCGAGCCACTCTTGCTTGATCTGATTGGGGCGATGGATCGGATGCCAAAATTACGAGCTGGCCTCTTCCATCTCGCGCCAAATCGCAATGCCTTCCAGGGACTCATGTTCCAATGGGCTCAGCCAGGGGTGAGATACATGGCAGAAAAGGACGGAAAGATCAATGATACCCCTATGAATTGTCGTAGATGCAAATTCACAATCGGAAATTTTACAGACTGGGAACCGTCAAAGAGGATCATGGCGGATCTTCAGCAATGGGTTGGAGATGGCAGTGTGGATTTTGATCCATCCACAACAGTGATGACTTCCTATCGCAGTATAATATAGAGCTCTGAATGAGACTCATAGCTATAGATCTATAGGAATGCTTGTCCTCATAAATTGAAAAATCTTAGACAACACCTGGGGCTATTCTTTCGTCGCTTGGAGAGTGTAAGAGTGTGGCAATCTCCAAGGCCGATCCTTCAGTCTGAACTCTCCTATGGCATGCATTAGTGGAAACATTCTTGCATCTCTTGTAAGCCAGGTAATTACACTTACCATTTCCTATTTCTTCCATCTGCCCAGGTATAGCATCCCAAGGCACGCTTTGGTGCTCTTTCAGTCCAGTAACACGAAGTCCCTCAGAAAGCAGCGCCTGTATGATTTCTCCTAAGCCATGGTTAAAGGAGGCCGTCTTCGTCTCTTTGAGCTTTTGGCCGCCAGTTCCGACATAAGTGAACTCCTCATCAAACATTGTGGGCTCCTCAAGCTCAAAATATGGGTACTCGATAGATATGCCGGCTTTCTGTTCGTCCACTGCCCACAACATCGGATGGCCCTCGCGGATAAACAACCGCCCTCCCGGCTTCAATAGACCCGACACAACCTTTGCCCATTGGCTTACGCTTGGTATCCAGCATAGCGCCCCGATGCCAGTATAGACAAGGTCATATGTGCCTGGCTGCAGAACCTTGAGGCTGTCATACACGGAGGCCTCCACAAAATTCAGCTTTTCGCCGCCAGTTCCCAAGGTAGAGGCTGCAAGAGTTCTGGCCTCCCTAAGTGAGGCGCCTGAGAAATCAAGGCCGGTGACTGATGAGGCACCGAGTCTCGCAAGACTTAGGGTGTCTGTGCCGATGTGACATTGGAGATGAACGCAGGTCAGGTTTGAAATATCGCCAAGGAGCGTCTGATCGAATTGGACAACTTCACTGATATAGCTCAGCGTATTGATTAAATCTTGGACATTGTAGTCCGGTGAGGCCGCATGCTATCATAAGAAACGTTATTTGTCAGTTAATCGCTGTTTGACTCAAGACAGGGCCGTACTTACAAGGGGAGCTCTCTCGTCCCAGTTGCGCTTATTGATAGTCTCGTAATCCATATCAACGACCAGTCCTCGACTTGGGTTTCCCCTTTCTTAAATATGACGAGTGGATGATCTATAGACAGGGTTGAGAAAATCCCAGAGAGTCCCGGGCCAGTTCTTCTTATGGTATATATTATAATTTCAGTGTAGTCTAAAATGTCACTAAGTCGACCGATTATGATCTCCACGGCAAAATCTGTCGTCCAACACAAGATTGGAACCCCGCACCAATGCAGCTCCTTTCCCACGGCGTGACTCAGCCCCTAAAAGGTCCTCGGCGAGACGCATTAGGAATCAATCATGCATTGTAAGAAGCAAATAACATCTCAACACTATCCTACAAAACAATTCACCAAAGGCTACTACTTCCATACTTAAAACTGATCAATGAAAAGTAGCTACAATTAAGACTATGTATCATTTGGGGATATATGTCTTCATTCTAAGTTTTATAGTAGAGGCTTATGAAATCGCGAATTTGCACCGTTGCAAAGTGAATTGAGGTGGTTGCCAAGGTGTCGAATTTGCAATTTCTGCATAGAGCGGATAGCAATATTCACGCCACAAACCATCTTGACCAACAAATTACCGCCATATCAGAGCATCCTAATTACCCGCACCAGGCCCAGTTCTTACCACTGTCGTATCTGCATGAAGTTCCACGAGCACAAGTGGCCTGAGTTTTCCACTTGCCGTTGGAGCAAACGAGAATGGAAGATTTACTATCCATGGTTAGCATACCTGCCACTTGAACGAGAGAGCAAATACAACTCACGGTTGACCCTTTTGGGCGTAGCAGGTAACACTACCGGACTTGCTGCAAGAGTCTCCGGATTTCGCTCTGACGGACAAGTTGGGAACGTCGGCCTCAACCTCGGGGGAGGGGAGGGCGTTGACCAGACCAGTGACAGCGATGAAGAGAGAGGCAATGGCGAACTTCATTTTGTCGTTAAGAGTAGGATTTTCGACGAAAAGCGGAAAGAAGGTTGATGATAACGGTGATGTTCTTCAAACTCGTGTCCCACCGACGGGGACCTGGTTGACCTTTTATACCCAGTTTAGAGTGATATCCAAAGCCCTCTATTGATTCAGTCGAAAAATTTGAACCACTGGTAGTAAGAACTTCAGTTAATGTGGCATACTGGTCCCATTCTTCAGAGCCACCGCGTAATTTCTCAGGAGGCTCATGAGATATGAGCTTTGGTAGTACCTTGGTGATTCCCCTACCATACATGACACCTACAAGCTTGGCATCTCCACTTGCGCTGGCAACGAGGTGAAGAAGGATTGGATGGTTACCATCCTCAAGGACTACGGTTGCGCAAACCGACAAAGCGACTGAGTCTTGAGACATCAAACCCCAGGCATCTTGAACGACGCATATGCCTTGAGGCTCACCGCAAGATGAATACGAACGCCTAATGGCGATGTAACGCTCTTGGCTACCAAAGTCCCAGCCCAGAGATACCAGGGGCATCTTCCTTTGGATTAGTGAAATGGTTTGATTTGACTGAAATCAGAGCGACTGATGTTGGCGACCCGGTGGCCCGTCGGTAATTGCCCGATTCCGACTGACGGCGCGAAATGCTTTGATTGATTTAAATAGTAGGACCACAGAAACAATACAGCATGGACGGTGTCTAACAAATCCCTCAAAACACTAAACAGGCGTCAAGCTTCTATTCAGTAAATACCTTATCAGTCTTACTATTACTGCTCCATCTCTCTAGGCTTATATATAAAATGCAGTGTGGCGTTTCCCTTTTCTTCTTTTGGGAGACTATAATCTAGTTTCATAAGGGATATACGAGGTGTCCACCACATATGGAGGTCAGTCGGATCTTTGCCCTCCATGCATAACTTCACTCCCCTCTTAGAGGGTCCAGAGGGGAACAATTGTTTAAATGGACCACCGGCAGGGTTATTCGGGTTATCCAAGGAGGTCAGGTACTTTGACTAAAAAAAATGAGGAGAAGAAAAAGAGAGAAAACTTGTGGCACTCTAGGCATCACTTCGAGAAACTAAGCCGAGCAATCCAGGTCATTTGAAGCAAGTCATTTATCCACGTGGCAATCAATTTCAAATTCGACATAGCTAGACCTAAATTCAAAGAGCGTAATCATTATCCCATCCGTGTTTCTGTTCCTCGGTGCACCTCAATCAAATCTCTGCAGATCTCCTCCTCCCACAACATCTTGATTAACCGTCCTTCGTTTCCTCTCTCACCCCATTCATTATGTAATAGCTCTTGAAGTCTTAGAGAGCGGCACGCTTGTTAATCACAGGACCGCCAGAGAGGTTGATGTTGGGGAGGTTACCGAGGCCGAACGAGCCAAGAAGGATGTTGATGTAGGTGGTGAGGGAGGTGGTGACATTAGCCAAGCCAGTGACGACAATGCCAACTCTAGCGGAGAAAAGAGTGACAGCTTGAGCAAAGACGGTAACAGGAGTGACGAAGGGGCTAATAGCATTACGAATAGCGGTGATCTCAGCCTGGGCGAAGGTACGGAGCGGGGTGGTGAGGTCGGTGGCTTCAGCGGTGATGAGGACATTGAGCTGGGCGATAGCGGCGATGAGGTTCTGGATAGCCTGGACAAGATCGTTGATCTGCTGCTGGGTCAGGCCAGTAGCGGCACCAACGATTCCACCAGCGGCTCCAGTAGTAGCTCCGACGATGGTGTTTGTGGAGGCCTTGATGGCTTCGAGGATGGCATTGAGATTGGCTTTAACGGTTGCCTGCACTTGGGCCTCAACGTTGCCAGTGACGCCTTGAAGGGCAGACTCTATTGTGGAGGGAAGAGAGTCAGATGATATGTCTTCATATGTTAATCATACGTTAGGGATCTGAACTTACTGATTGCACCAACGTTGGTGTCGACAGTGGTCCTAACAGTCCCTACAGACTGGACCACAACACCAGTTGCAGTCTGCTGTCTGACCTCAACCTCAACTGCTGGTGCAGCGAAGGCGAAGGAAGCAAACATGAGGACGTTGGAGAACTTCATTTTGATGAAATAACAAGAATGATGCTCTGGAAAGTTTAGAAAGGTGATTCTGTTGGATTGTGGTTGCTGTGTCTGATGCTTTCTTCAAACACCAAAAGACAGGAGGAAACTGGACCAATTTATAGAAATCATGATCCCATCGTGAGGGGTTATCCAGACCACCTGCCCGATCATCTATCTCGATCCAACCCATGGTCTTAGCGGTGTGAACTCTCCGCACCCATCGAAGACATCCAGGAGAGGCTTGGTGAGAAGCGTCTAGACAACATCTTTTCGTTCAAAGAGTAGCGGGACTGCATATCACCAGTCGCATGTCTCAGCCACTCCCCCCACGCAGTATTACTCCAAAGCCACTATATGTAAGAATCGGGCATTCCAGACCCAGGTCGGACGCACGTAAGAAATCCTCTCCCCAGAACTGCACATTCTTAATATCGCCAGTCAGATGAGGAATTTGAGGCACAGCAACAGATCTAGCCAACAACCACCGTGTGGGAGGCGTTGATTGTCTGACACAGCCTTCCGCAATGTCTCAGCTCAGCCGTAGCCTGATTGCCTAATATCGAGCCAGCGAGAGCCAAGAACTCCCACAGCCTCAGCAGGATGCGGGATAGAACGTAGCTTAACGGGACTTCGAGGGCAGCTCGATCTTCAGGGCCCCTTTCCGTCGTCGGATGTGGGAGCCAATGGCTGGTTAGAAGAGTCTTGTGATCGGGTTTCTATCTGCCCGTCTTGACGTGAAACACGGCAGAAACGGTGTCTTGGCGTGAGGTAATAAAAGCTATCAGTCAAATAATAACATGCAGAACGACTGAAAGAGGAATGGAGGCGGGTTTTTCTCCCGCTGAATGTGTTGGCCACGAGGATAACTGGCCGCTTCTAAGCGGTTTATTAGCATGCTTCTTGTTTGTGGCCGACCTTCGGGATCTGCGAGCCGCCAAAATGGGAAGATCACGCAGCCTCGTGATACATGTTATTGCTGTTCGGCTGCTAAAACACTATTTGCAAGCCACTTGGATCACTGATGCCTGTTCACCCACCCACTAAAGGCTGCAGCTCCTTCTCTTAACCTGGCATATCATTTTAGCTTAATCCTCTGACCGAAGCTATTCTCTCATTAGCTCGGGGCCGAGAAGATCCCGTATCCGTAGCCTACTCGGCTCGTCCCTCGCGCCCAGACAGCCCTCCAGAACAGTAGCAAGGGGTAAATCCCCTACTCTTTAGGAACAAGATCGTCAGTCGTCGCTCAAATCCTGGAACTTGTCTATGATGAGTATCCCTACAGTAAATGGAGTGAAACTACGGGTAACATGAATCGCTGCAGGGTACAGAATTCTCCCGTGAGTCGATGAAGAGTCGGTGTCGCAAACAAGTTCCTCACATGCATGCAACATGCACGTTTTGTCTGCTGTTAGTGTCATGTATGTCCAAGCCCGACGAAGAAATGAGCGTGTCGCCATAGCTAGGCTACGACGTATCACTTGGAGTCGGTCTAGATCGCATCTCTTACATGGGTCGGCCATCCAACTTTAAGCCGTCCCACCAGATGGTCGTAAGCTCTCTAGTCGACATCCCCAAACGGTGTATCGCTGCAGAAGCCACCATTTCTCTGGATCCATCTAGGCACGCCTAGAGCCCTTCATTGTGGTAGAGGGATGTGGTACGAACCAGGGTGTTGATCCAAAGTCGTGTCACCGCCTTCATGTAGGGGAGTTGCCAAATACAATACCGGTCCAGATGGATGCAAGTCTCATTCAAGTGGCGTCCATCTCAGGCAGGTATCACAATACCGACGTCTCGATCCAGAGCCATGTGTGTTTCTACCCAGTTCTGACTGGGTAGAAACACTCCAAGGTGAATGAAGATCACGGAGGGATAACACTCGAGACAAAGGAAGAAGCAGAAATAGATCAGCCAAGATGATATCATGCGGGCACAAGGGAAGGAGAAACGCAGATCAACTGGCACGGAGAATAAATTGAGACCTCATTAACCCTCTTTGGTTCAAAAGATGATGCCATCGACATCGGAACAGTCGATATGATGCTTGGGTTCTTTTCGTATGCACCCTCAAGATAATGGGCATTCTCAAAGCAGCAACACTCAACCAAGCAGGAGATCAGTTCACTCCGATCCTTCGCATCATTTACATAAGATCTTCAAGATTAACAATATGCAGTCTATTTCAGAAAGTGCGCAAATATTATGTATAGGTAAAATGTGAGGGCATTCCAAGTCCTGGCTGGTGCGTGAAACATGGCTTTTACAGGTTCTACATCCTGCAAAACTTGGCCTCCAAACACCCGAGACCGGAGAAACAGAAAGAGGCAGCCCAGCCCAGGACGAGGGGCAATCTTGCCCCCCTTTAGCCCTCATGTCTCGACGAAAAGCGGCGCAGAATGCGACACGGCTTGCCAGGCAGCCTCGAGCGCCATGGGCAATACCAGAGCCCGATGATGCGATCTATGTTGGCTGCAATGTCGTCATCTGATGCCATAGCCCGAGCAAGGGCTGGGCGGAGCAGTACGTGATGTTTGGTGGCCGTGTATCCGAGTATTATTCCGTATCCGTGTCTATAGTCTATTCCAATCCCAATACGTTCCAGCAGACCCTCATACCAGAGCACCTGGAGTCTCCAGCCTCCAGAAGCTCCAGGCCACGGCGGCCGCGGTCTTGAGACCAGCAGAGGTCCAGAGCGCGGGCGCGAGCGAGCCACTCCCCTTGTAGCACCATCCACCGACGATGGCTCCAACGAGGAAGGCGACAACAGCGCCCATGCGCCTGTTACGCTTGAGGTTCTTGGAGGGGGTCGCGGTCAGCTTCGGGTCGGAGGAGATGTCGTAGTAAACGCTCGTCAGGACGGTGGTCGGGAGCTCGTTGAACCCGCAGCCTCGGCTGGCAGCCATCTGGCCGCCGGCCTGGAATGCGAGCAGGAACAGGGGCACAAGGGGCAGCAAGAGGGTCTTCGTAGACGCGTTGATTTCGTGGGCGGAGGACACGACGCGGGTCTCGAGGAGGACGGCAGCGACGATGATGCAGAGGGCTTGCACGGCGAAGGAGACGGAGAGGGTCAGGCGCTCGAGGTTGCGGCCCTGGGTGAGCTTGGCGAAGATGAAGCTGCCGACGATGAAGGAGAAGATGGAGATGAGGGACTTGAGCCAGCCGAAAGGCTTGTCCACTGGCTGGTTGGATGCGCCGAGGCCCAGGAAGACGGTGTTACCTAGATGTCGCAGTTCGTTAGCAACACATAGACGGTCGCGATCGCAGGCCCACGTATGAGCCAAGCCAGGCTCTGCTGCAGCGGGAGCAAAGCAAAGCAATAATAAATGCGCCAGATGATATGCTTAGACTTACCAGTCTGCATGCTCACGAAGCATGTCCAGGCGCTGTACGCGCTGCTGTCGAGCATGCCCGACACAAAGTAGCAGCCAATAAAGACAAGGTCGGCATATCGGAGATCGATCTTCGGCTTGGGAGCCTTCAATTTCGTGGGAGAGTCCATTCTGGAGGATATCTACGGTCCTGATGCTGTGTTGCTTTGGATGTCGATGCGCGCAAAGTCGCAGCCGCCGGGCTGGATATGAGGACCTGCGACAGCCATTTTGATAAATTTTTTTCCCTCCTCGACCGGTCTAGACGATGACGAATACCGGCGATTGCGAATTATTTGATTCCCGCAGCCAAGCCAAGCTCCCAGGGGGGCCACTTGGTCCAAACGCTAGGAAATTAATCAACCGATTTCGGAGTCGGTCTTCGAGCTGATCAGACCAGTGCTCATCGTGGTGAATGCCTTTCGACGGCTCAATAAATCCATCTATATGTGTCGCAAGAACTGGAAGGCTTCGACCATCATCGTGGAGGCGCCATGTGCGTAGAGCTATGCCGGCCGGCCTTGGATGTGCGCAGTCAGAGCAGCCGCCCTCCTTTCTTGGGGCATTTGTTTTGCTTTGTCAGACAGTCGGAAGCCCTTGCCGGCTTGGCTGGACTCAGGTCATCGTTTTAGGAGCTTCGTCCGGTCTGGTATCAGGCCAGTCGGCAGGCCACTCGCTCGGGGGGAGTCGTCGTAGTATGAAGCCATCCTGATGGCGACATGAGGTGTAAGAGTAGAATGAAGTGAAGGAGGGAAAAGTCTGCGGCAAATCGAACGGCTAGCCCGGGTTTTTGCTTGTTGGGGTGGCCTGGCAGCACAGGCTTCTCCGCACCAGGGTTGCAATGAGGGAGTCCAAGGCACGGCACCGGCACGGGCAGGCGGCAGGCAGATATCAGGGGCTTGACGTCAAGTTGTGCCTTACTTTGCCGGACAAGCTTCTCCTGGCAATGCGGATAATTTGAATGATCTGTAAGTTGGAATCGACGGGCCATATCTGCCCTACTGGTATCAACCAAGGAGAGCTGGTCGGTAAGAGCAAACTTTAGATCACAACTGGAGGACAGGCTGCAAGCCAACCAATACAGAAAGGGTTATGTCGTTGGATGCGAAGTTACTCGCCTTCTGAAATAAATCAAAAGTGATGTATTTATCTACGATCAAGAGTGAAGCTACGCCCACTTCTTCGACACCTCGCGACCTGCATCATCAGTGTATAGGGTAGCTATATCGAGAAGGCGACAACAACGACTCTGGGGAAAAGCTGGGGTTTTAACTTGTCCCGGTTAGACTCGCCGATATGTGTTAGTAAAGGCAAGGTCTGATTGGGTCTCCATTGTTTCTTTCCTCTTTGCCCCAATTTCGGCGAGCCCCAGACCAGCAAATCCTCCTTCCCCTCATACTCTCTACTTCCCCAGTAATAGCACTTCCCCGTCTCGACCTCACCTCATACCATGGTGTGGTTGTGGAGCGGCTAAATCGAATCATGCCGGTTCTGAAGAATCCATGTGTGATATGCAAAGGTGGGCCGCTCTCTGTTCATCACGGTCTTGAAGAACTAAAGTATGCTGACCGACTGGCCACGCCGCCTCGGTCCCGGCAGAGAAACACTTGAGGTGCAGCGATGACACACCGCAATGTAGCCGCTGCCGAAGTAAGGGCCTCGAGTGTATTCGCCCGGGGAGGACGAAGCCCTTTCGACAAGGCTCTGCCGCCAACTTTGACTACCGCTTTCCCGATTCGCAGACCTGGCTGAGGAGCAACGCACGGGAATGTTAGTTCAAGTCTCCCCTGAGCCTATTGATACGTATATGCCATTGCGTACACGCCAATGCCTAGAAACCGTGCTCACCTAACCATACCCCACAGTCCGTCTTTACACAAGCTCTCGAGGGCGTGCCCAACGTATACCCACCGAGGCCGACCCTAACCTCGAGGATGACGCCCTCGAAGTCCCTACTGGTATGCAGGGCGCCTCTCCAGGCCCACCATTGGAGGCACCAACAACGCTCTCACCCATCTCGCAGGTACATGAGAACCCTACGCATGAATGGGTGAGCATGTCAACTCAAGTAACACCCCCTTCACACCAATCAGATGCCTTCCAGTCGCCCATCAGCAGCCTGAACGCACCTGAATCAAATGAGGATCATGGTGGAGTGTTCAGGCCATCGTATAACCACGTTGGACTGGAGCATATACCATCTCCACACAAAGGTCAGTACTAATTCTCCCACTCCTTGACGGCAGTCTAGCATAGCTGCCGGCGCTGGAGGCTTTATTCATTGCCTGCCAAGTATTAACCATTTTCATAGGCGTAGATCGTACTCAGGTGCACCAAGAAAACGATCATTCGACTGAAGCTCGCCAAATCCGAGAGGCATGTCTCCTGGCTTACTATGTTGATGAACTCTCTCACTGGGTAAGTCCATATTTGTGACCTGCCATTTTCTGAATCACTGACGTATCACCTAGTTCGATATTGCGGACCCTTTACGGAGCTTTGAGATTCTAGTCCCTGAAAGAGCAAAACATTACCCTCCCCTGCTCAACGCCATATACGCCGTCTCTGCACGTCACATTTGCCGTCTGCGGCAGTACAGGACCCCTGATGGGCGTATAATGTATCGTGATCAGCTACTCCATGATACTCACCCCGGCACAGCAGTCGAGTACATGCTAAAGGCACTCCCTGCTCTGCGCGGATTTCACACGACCTACGACGAGGACACTCGCGGACTCATGGTTGCCACAGCCATCATCCTACGACAATTCGAAGAGATGGAAGACGACCATGATGATGACGAAGAAGAGGCGAAGCGAGCAGACCCCGATTCCCCTAACACCCCCCCTCAAAGGGTCAATTTCTTGTCTATTATCAGCACCGTCCTCAAGAGCTCTAATACGGAAGAATGGTCGAACCATTCCAGTCTCTTAAAAGCGTCATATTGGATCGCGCTTAGGCAAGAGATTTACTATGGCCTCCTGAAAGGCCACCCTCCAGATTTCGTACAGACACCCCAGATTTATGCGAATGCATCTCCCACAAACCGACTGATTATACATGCTAGTCATGTTACGGCATGGCACTTTGACGGTAGATCGGAGCAAGAGTGGTGTGCGTTTTCTCTTCCACTTTGTCGACAAATCACGGATGATGAACGAAAGCTGACTTATTAATATGGTGTAGTGATACTGAAACAACAAGAAGAAACTCTAGAGGAGACCGTGGTGAAGCAATTCGAGCCCATACTATCATTGCCACCTAAGAAGGAAGATGGCCATGTTTTTCCCATAATATGGTACCACTCGGCCATTGGACTTACCGCGATGCAGCACTTTTTGCTCGCAAAGATGATTCTTCTGGCCGAGTCGCCCTTATTAGCGTGAGCATCGCCCTACGTTCATGTTTTTTTTCGCCCTTTTTATTAGCTGTACTGATTCATGAAATAGACAATCATCCGATGCCAGGTCGGCGTTTAGAGAGGCAGAACTGCGAGTTCGCTCCATCGCGCTGGATATCTGCGGTATTGCGATACAACACCCGAAGACTCCGCCTGCTCTGGTGAACGCGGCGTTGGCGATTCATCTGTATGGCCATTTCTTTGTGGACCATTACGAGCGACAGGCACTTAAGGGCGTTATCGGTCGGTTTCGTGATGCATGTGCTTGGCCAGTACCAAGGCCACTACAGCAGTTCGAGTGAAGGTGTATGATCTCTTTGATGGGTGACTGATAAAGGCTGAAAGAAGCCGTATTAATGAGGACATGAATGTCAGGCTCATCGTAATATTTCGCCCAATAGCTAAACACCCGAAAAAAGTAATATTATTCTGCTTCACGATATGTCAATATCACTAGAGAGGCTTTTTATCGCTCCCGGCAGTCTGAATATTGTCTCTAAGCATGTAAATTATTGTCTATGGATGGGGAAAACCATGCGAAGCCTGGTGGTAATGCCTCGTTTGTGATCTTGAAGGTTCTCATAACAGCATTTTAATGACTGTTTTAGCAATGCGCCCTTGATCAATACGTATAGCGAAGCCCCTTGCGCTTCAACACACGGTCGTTGCCAAAATAGTATTGCAAATTCGCCAACGCCGAAAGGAAAACACCAATCGCGCTAAGAGCCACAATGATAGAGAAGCCTCTTGGATAATGAGGTGCGTCGTCCTCCCGGAACAGTGCTTTTCCAACAATACCCGAGCAGTTGGCGGCCATGATGTGCAGTGCCATGGTGATGGATCGCTCGCCAGGTGTTCTCGCGTTGAGTGACAACCATGAACCATTTACCGCGTCTGTCCGGATACCCTGTTAGCGAATTTGGCATAAAATTTAATTAAAGGAGAGAAACTTACGCCAGGGCCAGGAGAAAACGATGGAGGTTATCAGGATCGCAAACTTGGTTTGCGCGCTGGTGGAGGTGACGACGATTTTGTTTCCAATCTATAGAAAACGTTAGAGCAGTTCGTGGTGCGTGAGAGAGCTCCGATACGTACGTTGAAGCCCAATCCGAGGATGAATCCGAGAAGGACCATAGGACCACGAACACCTAGGCGGTCGCTTGATATGACACGGTTAGCTGTCTTATTGACTGAGAAATCTAGGTAGATCAAGAGAACGTACCAAGCCCAACCCCAAAGTAGGTTGCAGAAAAGAAGACCCCAGTAACCAATGGATACCATGGCGTTAGACTGAAGACCGCTGTACCCGAAGCTTGTGATTAGAGTTGGAGCATATGAGCCCATGACCTGTGGCGGCGCCATGCCAACAATGGTGAAGCCAATATGGGGGAGGATGCGCCAGTTGGTGAACTATATGACACCAGTTAGTCACCACCTGTAGCTGAGGTAAAGTATGTCTTTTTTCTTTGGATTACATACCGTGCTTTTGAAGTCCTCTAATGTGATGTGTGTTCCCACCTGTTTCTTGGAGGGATCATCACGGATGACCCTGTGATATAGAATCTGGGCCTCCCGCTCGGTGAAATAGCACAAGCCTAGGAGTGACTTGGGGTTTGTGACTTGATCGGGGAAGAACAGAAGAAATGTGACACCAATTAGAACGGTGAAAATGCCCTCAAGGATAAAGAGCCACTGCCATCCGCTCAGACCAGCAATTCCTCGCATGCGGAGACTACCTTAATGTCAGCTGAGTTTCTACGTTGGTGAGAGAGTAGTCAGGGGTGCATTACATTCCAAAGGCAATGATGCCTGTCATCGCTGACGCGACAAGGTTTCCCATAAAGAACCACGAGAAACGTTTGCTGATTTCGTCTCGCTTATACCACCGAGACATGGTGAAGAGACAAGCCGGGATAAAACCGGCTTCGCAGAGTCTACTGAGAATTAGTTGCAACAATCTCAAAGGCTTGGTTCGGAGATAAACATACCCGAGGAGTAGTCGAGTGATTACATAGACCGTATAGCCCTTCTGGAAAGCTTGGAATGTGGCGACAAGCCCCCTGGTTGCTCATTAGTCTCTCGAACAAGGTAGGTTGAGAAGTGAAGTGCCTTCTAAGATTTATTCAAATTTAGAGTGCTTACCATGCAATGATTTGACCTCCGATCCACAGTGTTGGCCCGACCCTGTATAGGATCATATTGCTGGGAATCTGGGGAAGGGTATATGTTTTAATAAGAGACTTTGTTAGGCAGAGTGAGCGATACTTACTTCGAGAACAATGATACCCAGGGACAAGAGCTGTTGGCCTGTGTTGAACTGATTTTGCGTGATGCCCACGTCTTTGAAGAAGCCATCGGTTAATGCGTTACCACTGTTACAAGAATTAGTTTCCTAGATCTCAATTTTATAAAGACAAATAGTTGTAGTAGAGATCTCACATGTTTCCTCTATCAAGCTGCAGCGCGAAGAAACCAAGGATCAGGATCGGCATAAGCAAGATGTCAACCCTTCAGAGAGACAAGTCAGCCAAACAATTCAATCTTTTGCATCGTTGTGGGCAGATAAACCTCCGAAGAAGGGTAGCCTCCTCCTCCTCAGTCCAGAAAAGATCATCGTGCTCCTCTTCGTGCTTTCTGTCACTGCCGCTTGAAGAGGCTCGAGCCACCTGTTGCTCGCCGATTTCCTTGTCGGCTGCCATTGTAATACAATCGAGCTGTACGACCCCGACTTCGGCTCGGAACTGTTGAATTTCGCTTGTCGGTCTGCGATCATCAAGAACCGAGTAAAACCATCGGGCCGTCCAGGGTTTTATGGGAAAAGATCTAATTTAATGGGACTAACTGACGCGTCTGTCGTCTCACAAACTGATCTGTCCATGCTTTGAAAACCACGAGCCCTCTGCGGGTCGGTCTGCACCGAGCCGATGCAGTTTGGTGGAGCATTTCACATCAAACACTCTCGTGGGCTCGGATGGATTCTTCAGTGACATCTGCAGTGGGATTGCTCTTCCAGCCGAGCTCGATTGCAGCCATCAGTTCGAGCAACGAGGTTGCGATTCTCGCTCTCGCCCCACTGGTGTCAGGGGTCTTGGAGTTGACGCTATCAAGCTAATGGATTGCGTGCTCGAAATTGTCTGCGGATTGCGCAATCTCGACCCAATCTTGATCCCCGTTGAATGAACCTGTCCCTCAATTGACCAATAAAACGCTTATATGTGATAGGGTTGTGTTGGTGTAGCTCCGGCATGATGCTAGAATCGGAGTCAGTCCGATATCAATGCACCTCATTTGTTATTATGTAGATTCGTATTTGTGTCATGTTAGCTTGGGAGACGAACGTAATATAGCCTGATAAATTCTTCCAGAAAAGCGGAACTTGCGGTAGAAGTTTGCTTTGATATCGGTGTAGTTCTGAGAAGCAGTGATGTTCACTTGTTGTTATTTATTATTGATTGGTGACCCAATATTGGCCACGAACCTGAGAAGAGCACCAGGCTGAAGTATCCATATTCTGTTCACAATGAAGATTCGGGCAGCTACGGCTGTTGCCGTTGCCAACTGCTTGGCGGCGCAAGTAGTTGCGGCAGGACTGTTGGATGAGCAAATCCCGTTGAGCCGGCCTGGCAATCCTAAGCCCTCAGACCGGCCCAACATCATCTTTGTTCTCACCGATGACCAGGATCTGCACATGGACTCACTCAATTACCTGCCAAAGATTAAAGAGAGATTGATTGACCAAGGGACACTCTACAAACGTCACTACTGCACCACAGCAGTTTGTTGCCCTTCCCGAGCATCCATCTTCACGGGAAAGCTGGCGCATAATACTAATGTTACCGACTTGAATCCTCCTTACGGTGTGTAGTGGCATTATATATGCCCAGTTCTACAGTGTTAACTCTGGATAGGTGGCTTCCCAATCTTTGTCAAGAATGGTCATAATGAGAACTACCTGCCTCTGTGGCTGCAAGACGCCGGGTACAATACTTTTTACACGGGAAAAATGTTCAACGCACACACTGTTTGGAACTATGACAGCCCGCACCTGAAGGGCTGGAATGGATCGGTATGTCCTACTGAATAATACAAGTTATCGAATAATGGCTTGGACTAATACCGATAGGACTTTCTCCTTGATCCTAATACTTACGACTACTGGAATGCGACCTTCCAACGGAATCAGAACACGCCGATTAACCACCTTGGTGATTATTCTACAGATGTGCTGGCTGAAAAGGCATACGGCTTCCTCGACGACGCTGTTTCAGCAAAGAAGCCGTTTTTCCTCGGGATTGCCCCCATCGCCCCTCATAGCAACGTGAACAGCACAGTGTTAAACCCAGTCAAGGGCCCGGATGATGATGTTCCGGTGTCAGACGACACCTTCCGAGTTTCAATTCCTAGAAGTGCCAAGCGACACGAGCACCTATTTCCCGATGCCAAAGTCCCCAGAACCGATAATTTCAATCCAGATGTTGAGTCGGGGGCGGACTGGATCCGCAGGCAGCCCAAACTGACCCAGGAAAATGTTGAATACAATGACCGTCACTATCGTGGTCGCTTGCAGGCTCTCCAGTCAGTGGATGAGCTTGTTGAAGGACTGGTGGAGAGGCTGGAACAACACGGCATTCTTGATAATACATATATCTTCTATACCACCGATAACGGCTATCATATCGGACAGCATCGCCTGCCCGCCGGAAAAGAATGCGGATATGAGACTGATATCAACGTCCCGTTGATTATCCGCGGACCTGGTGTTCCCAAGGGTAGAATTTCAGATTCGGTAACTGCTCACGTCGACTTGGCACCTACTTTCCTCTCCCTAACTGGCGCAAGCTTGCGAGCCGACTTTGATGGGACACCAATCCCATTGTCGGAAAAGGAGATCGAGCTTGCTCCCTCCACGCGTGAGCATGTCAACGTGGAGTACTGGGGCTGGGCCATTTCCGAGAGTAACTTTGGCTTCAATGGGGGAGACGACAAGAGAATATACAACAATACTTATAAAGCGCTGCGTGTCATAGGTGAGGATTACAACCTCTACTACTCTGTGTGGTGCACAAATGAGCACGAACTCTATGAGATGAATGTAAGTTGAAGACTCCCTGGTCGAGTGAGGATGGCCATCTTGCTAACGAAGGCTCAATAGTCCGACCCTGGCCAGCTCAAGAATTTACTTCACAAAGATGAGGCAGTCTTGGCGGCACAGACCACTGTTTTGGGTTATCCTTTAGAGAAGCTCATCCCCAGACTCGATGCTCTCCTCTTAGTTCTCAAGTCTTGCAAGGGGGCGAGTTGCTCGCAGCCCTGGAGGTCATTGCACCCCCATGGCAACGTCGTAACCCTTCATGACGCTCTTTCCCCCAGATATGACGAATTTTACGAGCAGCAAGTTCGCGTTGAGTATTCATGGTGCGACTCGGGATACATTGTGCCAGCAGAAGGCCCGCAGTTTGAGAAGGATGGCGTGGTGTACTGGGAAGGTTCCAACTGGAGCGACTGGACTTGAGTTATGTATATCAGGCGAGGAAACAGTTGAGATATTTTTCCGGTTGAATATGAATCCATTCAAAACTGTCGTGTTTGAGAATTTCTCTCGGAATTTCAGTCTCCATCTACTAGCTGTGTATCTCGAATTTGATTGTAAAGAAAGAGTTGTTTCTTGTCCGCTACTGAATGTACTGAAAACTGTGACCTAAATGTAAATCTATATTCTAAGGACAGGAAAGCTTGCAATCAGTTGTTTGATTCGGAGTCTTTTCTGGTAGCTCCCACTCGGGGTCGTCCAAAAGGAGTCTCGCAAGACCGAGCTCGCTGTTCACACTCAAGGCTTGACGAGGCAACAAGAGCTGCTCATGCCAGGTGCCGCCGAGATTCAAGAGTATAGATGTGAGTTCGCGTTGGCCAATTCCTTGCGCCGCCCACCAGCGGCCGCCTAGAAGCTTCAAAAATACCAAGTAATGAGCTAAGATGACCAAAGCCCGAGGTTGAAACGTGCGGCAAAGCTCAACAAAGGATTGAGGGATAACAGTAAGCCAGGTAAGCGTACGAAGGACCAGCAGTGATCCTATCCCACGTGAGAGTTCTGCAAATAGGGAGCCGAGATATTGCAAGGCGTCGTAGTATGTGTTTGCGTCGGCGTATTCGGGATCGTCTGGTCCAATTGAGAAAACCATCTGAGTCAGGTAGTCTGGAACATAAGTCCCAGACCGTAATAGATCGATATCGGGCCTCATGAAAGGTTCGACCACCCCGAGTTGCCGCAGCTTGTCGGATGTGACTACGCCGATGAGGGTGTTGATTCCCCTCCATATCATCATCCAGTCGACAATACATATCTCATGGACCTCTCTATCGCGGAACATGTCAGTTGAGATGTTTGCGATTAGTATGGAGCAGAGAGCAAGAGCAGGATAGGTTTGTTCGTTTGGCTCAAGAATGGCTCGTCGGTATCCTTCTATTCCACGTGCGCGATAATGGAGGGCACGCGAGGTGCTAACATCCTGGTCAAGTAACCTGAGTTGAAGTGCTGCAGTGGCCAGCACGCAGTCCATCAAAAAGGGGTTCTCGAAAGCTAATTGAGGGAGTCTGATCTTCAGAACATTGTCGAGCCGGTCTGCTCTCTCGCCCGACTTAGGTCCAATGGGAAGGTTGTAACTGCTGGTGGTGTAAAACCAAAGCAATCTCAGGTCGGCGGAGTCTCTTCCAGTGCCAGCACATAGAAAGGGGCTCAGGAGCGAATCGGAAGAAGCAGGGCTGCTGCTCCCCGGCGAAAGGGAGGAACTCCGCCTTTCCGGGGACTGCCCACAGGTACGGGAAGGACGTGCTATCGATGATGTAGTTGTAGGGGGATAGATACATTCGGCCTCGCGAACGAAACATCGACGGCATGTTGGCTGGGCCTCATCACACTTGACCTTCCGGGCCTTACAAGATAGGCAACCCTTTCGAGATTTTGAATGGGTCCTTTTGCTATGGTAAGGCTTCTGTAGGCTTGCTACTAGCGTCTGAGGTCCCACGACACCCACGTCAGAAACTGAAACCGAGGGCTTCTCATTCGCGGGGAGCAGGATCGGAAGTTTCCCGCCTGAATCGTACATGTTGGGCGGCGAAGTCGACATGGCATACATGCACAGTGGGCGAAAAATCCGACGGAGACAATCTGAGAGCAAGAGGGGTTGATTTGTTTGAATCTTAATCTTACGCTTATTCATTCACAGCCACGTATCATGACGATTACATTGGCACGGCCCACACTGCCATCTGACATCAGGAGTTAGACTGACAGGGGGCTCGCATTCGCTAGACTGCCAATAGGCCAATGGGAGCTTTTCTGTTGACAGGGACCCTAAATTAGCACAAACAGGCGAATGCGAGGAGAAACATCACTGGCTGGATCGTCAAGAAGTCTACGTTCTGAGACGGGGTACGATAGCCTTATGGATATTTGGCTCTAGTGGTTACGGGGCATGTATCGCCATGTAACCAACATGGCAATGTATAGATCAATCTTCATTTGGAGGAGAAGAGTTTGAGTGTATACGATGGCAGTATAAGAAGATTTCAGGGCCCTCCGATGTTCAGTGTCTAGATAAGCAACCTAGAAGTTCTCATACGCACGGTTTCAATAAGAAGACTGATCTTTTTGCCGCTGTGCGACTTTGTTATCATTCATATTCATTGACTTCAACATGGATGCCGAAACGGTAAAGCAAGCGGGCATTCCCCCCGAGTACCTCCATCAACTGTCCAATGGATCTTACGTTCACCGCGGGATGTTTAACACCTTTGGTCCCAATGCGAACTGCACTATAGATCTCTGTTCTATCGAATGGTCTTTGTTCAGATACCGGCCAAGTCTCCCCGCCAATTCCATTTTTCTCGCTCTGTTTGGCCTTGCCTTGCTCGTTCACATATACCTCGGAATCCGTTGGCGTACTTGGGGGTTTCTAACTTTCATGGCCTTGGGTTGTTCGATGGTTATGCTCGGTTACGGTGGGCGTATCATGCTTTGGGTCAACCCTTGGTCCTTCGCGGGCTTCATGCTGCAAATTATTCTTGTCGGTAGCGGCCCTGTTTGGTTTTCGGCTGCCATCTATGTGACCCTTTCGCGAGCGTGAGTTTCTTCATTGGCATTTTGCATCTTATTGTTTGATCAAATATGAACCAGGGATGCTAACTGTGATTTCTTATCTAGTATTCGGTTTCTTTCTCCAGAAATCGCTCGTCTGCCTCCCAAAGTCTTCTACTGGCTGTTCATTTGCTCCGACTTTATCTGTCTGATTCTTCAGGCCATTGGAGGTGCACTTTCGACAACATCAAAAGGAGTCTCTCAGGTGGGAGTTGATCTCGCGAGGGCTGGGCTCATCATTCAAGTCGTTATTCTCATCGTCTTCTGTGGTTTTTTTGCGGACCATCTGATTCGATTTCACATGCTACGCAAGTCTAAGCCCGATGAACTCAAGACACCTTTTGGCATTCGCCAGAAAGTATTTTTCGGGGGCCTTGCATCGGCCGTGGTTTTGATCTTGGCGCGATGCGCATACCGTGTGGAGGAACTCAGCGAAGGATACAGCAACTCGTCCAAGCTGGCAGATGAGGGCCTGTTTATTGGCCTTGAAGGAGTGTAAGTCGCTCATAACCCTTTCTTTTGGGAAGACGTTCTAATTGTCGCAAAGACTCATCATTGTGGCTGTAATTTGCCTCTTCTTCGGACACCCTGGCCTTGGCTTTGGAGACCTCGAGGATAGGACAAAGCACATAGAGCTGAGCAGCCTAGAAAGGTGATCATATCCTTGGTCATAAGGCTCTGGGCCTTCTAAACTACAAGGTGCCTGAAAATATAAGGATCTGGCTTTACACTGCCTGACCCTTTTCACCCCGGCATACTAAGCGTCGCTCGGTAGACGCAAGAAGCTAGCCCTGTTCCTGAAGCACTTTTCCCGTTCTACTACCTCCTCGACATGTCAATGCACACATAGCATAATATCCTGCAGATGGCCTCTTGGATGGACTCACTCCTTAGATTAATCTCGTTATGTACATAATATCAACTGCGAAGAATGCAAGACCCGCTTCGTTTTTCGCCGATTTGCTAAATTTTCTTTGTCTACTTAAAACTTAATTAAGTAGGGAGATGTATTTCTGCTGGCTGCTAGTGAAGAATTCATTTTCTTTCACCCTGAGTTAATTTGGATCTCAGAACTACTTGCTGGGAATGGAGATCTGGTAGACTTCCTATAGATAACGCAAGTAGGTACTTTTAGAACGTGCTAACGTTAGCCTCTGGATTAGTCTCATTGGTGGTAGTGGCAATTGATAGTGACAACATGGCGATGGCAAGCTTTGGAACTACCTATAAAATATATATCGAAGTACCTATGACACGTAATTATAAGCAAGTAATTATGTATAAAACTCACTTGATATAAAAATATCTTCTCCTTATTGAAATTTGGTATCTGTTGTCCTGGAACGACAGCACGATGTATTTCTTTGCTGGTCCGAGCCGCAGGGAGCTTGAATGGCGGTTATTGAAGGTCAAGTAAGTCAGGATGTTGCTCGCTGAAAAGTGCCACAGCCAAAGTGCGCCATGCAGGCGGCTGGGAATTGGGGCACAGGTAAGTATGCATAGGCAACTTTATCATAGTTGTTGAGTTGTTAGATAGGTTTCATCTAGGTAATGGCTGTGTCTTACACAAATGTTGGTTCCTTGAGCTTTGCTTGGGCTTCAAGAGTCTCCTGGGTGACGATGGTCATCTAGAACTGGTTGACCTGTATTCCACGTGGCAGGAGGCCTCCGCCGCCTTAGGTCGTGTTTCTTTGCGTAAAATGGTTAGAAGAAGTAGTTTTTAGTGACTGATAGCGTGATTATATCAATTGATAACCTTATCAAAGTATGCAATACACGGGCCCTTGTAGAGATCTCCGTCTTACAGGGGTGAGGGGGTATCAAAACTTTGAGGTTACATTAAACCCCTCTTCACAGGGGCAGAGGCCACAAAAGCAGAGATTATGAGATCGCAGAATAAGAGTTGGCAGCGGCAATAGAGAGAGATTTGCAAGTCCAGTCATCAAAGTAGATCTTCAAGGACAGGTCGCGGAGGTGGATGTCGAGAAGAAGAAATAGACGGCCTGGATTAATATGATAACAGGCTTTGCAATGTACTTCATACTTAGTGAGATCAGTAGTCTGTTACCCGCCCCGCAACCCGTACACAGAATCTACTTCTGCTACCTACGTAGGTACGCAAAGAAACACAACCCTACTGTCCGGCACGGGTCCAGCAATTTTTCGTAACGCCGCCTTAGCCTCCCCTCCTGTTGTTCTGGCATCTCTTTGCTCTGTTAGCCGAAAAACAGCAGGACAGCCCAAAACGGCCCCCTCACAACAAGCTAAAACGGAAAATTCAACTGTCAAACGGTCTGTGAGCCAGATGGAAGTCGCCGAGTCTCTCAGGATTAGCGGGTAACTACGCATTATCTTACCCGTAAACGGTTCTCCTTCTAATAAGTTCAATCCGTAGCAATGACCTATGGGCTGCCGCTCTCCAAACTATCGGGGACGAAGTGAGAACTCAGATCGATGTTACGCAAGGGAACAGACTTAAGACGGTCGACGAGCTTTTGGGGGCTACCCAACGAGCAAGGGAACGCTTGGCAAACAAGTCATTGTCATTCAAGCGCAAAAATGGCGAGATCGTTTTTGTGCGCGATCTCTTAGCCAGGGCCGCTAAGTGGGTTAACCATTTTAAAGATGTGGGAGATATTATAGTGCAATACGACCCCAATCATTTGGCTTTGCCTTGGGCAGGTGTTCGGTTTCTACTCAACGTAAGTAAGCGTTATTCTTTGTCAGATAGCTGACACCATGGTACTGACGCCTGGATAGGTCGCCATAGGGGATCTAAACACGTATGCCAGCGTACTGGAAGGTATTACTAAAGTCACGGAACTTTTGTGCAGGAACGCTCTTCTTGAACGTTTACTTGAAGTTCCCAAGTCAAAAACGGCAGAAGAGCTGAGCCGTGCACTGGTGAAGTTGTACGCAAGCATCTTGACTTATTTTGCCAAAGCGTGCTCGTATTATCAACAAAGTAGATTTAGTGAGTTATCCTCCCCGAATCCCAGACGGCCACTAACGTGATTAGAGAGCTTTATCAAGAATGGATTGTTCGCTTCACACGACCTAGAATCAGCCTTGGAAAACATTGACGAGGCACAAAGGGATGTAGACCGCAGTGCCACGATCTTCGGCCTACAAGGTCAGTACCATGACACCTCGACTTATATCGGCCCTAACAAATGGTAGAGCATTTGGAAAGCCATGCCGAGCTCAAGCGAATGATCAGAGAATTTGACGTCCCTATAAATCGTTGGGATAAGGCACTCCATAGCATGACGGATCACCTCAATGGTAAGTTCCTACTCACTTGGCCTGATCTTGCAATTGCTAATTTGTCAGGGGAACGACGGGTGAAGATTTTGTGCTGGATATCGGACGAACCTTTTGAAAAGTTCCACATCCAAGCAAACAAAGAGGTCCTGGAAGGAACAGGGAACTGGCTTCTGCGTGAACCGGCCTTTGCACGTTGGAAGCGAGAAAGTGCTTCCTCTATCTTATGGCTCCATGGCATACCGGGATCCGGAAAGAGCAAGCTGACGTATGTTTTTCTGAGAACCTGGCACGCCGTGATCTAACTTGAGTCCTTAAGGTCCATTGTCATCAAGGATGCCCTCGCAGCTTTCCAGGGAGGCCATGCCCCAGCTCCCGCTTACTTCTATTGTTCTCGTAACCCGGCTGAGCCCGGCCGCTCAGATGCCTCAAAAATAATGGCCAGTATTGCGAGGCAGCTGTCCGCCCCGAGCCCCAGTGGACCGCTTCTCAAACCTGCAATCGAAAAATACGCGGAAAAAGAAGCACATGGTTTTGCATCTGGGCCGCTTTGCTTGGACGAAAGTAAGAAGTTGATTTTAGATCTCCTTGAGCAGTACAATGGCGCACCTGCTACGGTTGTAATCGATGCTTTGGATGAGTGCAGCTCGGAAAGTCGGGGAGATCTCTTATGTGTATTGGAAGATCTCCTAGCGGCGTCTCCATGTCTTATGAAGATATTTGTGTCCAGCCGCGAAGATCAGGACATTGTATACAAATTGGCGAAATATCCGAATTTGCACCTCTCGTCTGATTGCAACTCGATAGACATAGATTTCTTCATACGAGCTGAGACACAGCGTCTGGTCGACGAGAATTCTCTGCGACTTGGTGATAGAGAGGATGAATTGCGCAAGCGAATCATCTACGAGCTCACAACTAAGGCGCAAGGCATGTAAGTCTGGTTTTGAGCAGAAGAGCTTGTTAACATATGACTGATGAGACTAGGTTTCGCTGGGCAAGCCTGCAATTGCGGGCGCTCTGTCAACAGACCACCTGCGAGGCGATAGAGGAGAGACTTGGGCGACTACCAGCGACGTTGGCAGAGCTTCACAAGGAAATCCTCACAAGAATCGAAAACTTTGAAGCTGATGCGGATCGGCAGTTCGCTCGAAATGCCCTGAGTTGGCTGCTCTGTGCCCGAGAACAACTTACGTCAGATGTCTTCTTAGCCGCCGTGTCTGCAAAAGAACATGGATCGTCATCGACAATCTCAAAGGATCAGCTCCTACAATTGTGCTGCAACTTGGTCATCTACGACACCTCTGCTGACAGTTTTCGATTCTCGCACTTGTCAGTTAGAGAATTTCTCGAACAGCAGGGGACGTATGATTCAGCATCTGTCAACGCTGTGGTGGCGAGAGTCTGTATTTCCAGTCTCGATTCCACGGCATTGGATGCTCCAATACATGCACGGCTTTTGGACTATTCAACCGTTTTCTGGGCAGAACACGCCAGCACAGCTGCTTCACACCAGACAGAGATGAGCAAGATTCTTCGCCACTTCTTATTCGGTGCGAATTTCAATAGTTGGCATACAGCCGTGAAGGAGCTGTTGGATGCTCGAATCGTCGACAGAGACGGAAGGATTACACCTAGGCTCGGGGCTACTATATCGCACTGGCCGCAAGTCTTGCATGTGGTGTGCACATACGGGATACCGGGTGTCGTCAGCCGAGAAGAATGGATGGAGTTAGCGAAGAAGCAGCCCAGGAACACTGAAGGTGAAACACATCTGGAGGTTGCAGCCCGGTGGGGCAGCTGTAGTATTCTGCAATGGCAGTTGGACAACGAAATTCCCTTTGAAGTGACCGAAAAAATGATTGAAAAGGCGGTTGAGAACTCCGAGAACGGCAAAGATATACTGGCTTTGCTTCTGAACCATGGAGGAGATGTGATTGAGATCACAGATGAAATTGTTGAAAGAGCAGTTCGGAATGAGAGAAGTGGCAAGGCAATAATGGAACTTCTTCTTGACAAGCGAGAGAACGAAGTTCAAGTCAGTTCGAGGGCACTAGCGGAAATTGCTAAGAATTCTGAAAGTGGCAAGCAAATACTGTCAATGTTCTTCAAGAGGGGCATGTTCAAACGACCAATCACGGAGGAAATGGTGTCGACTGTTGTGAAGCATTTCGACGAAGTTGTGCTGCGACAACTAATCGGGGCACAAACAGTCGGTATAAAGTTCCCAGATAAACTTGTCGAAACAGCAGCTGAGAATTCTAGAAGCGGAGGAAGAATAATGATGCTCCTCCTGGAGATGAGAAGCATCGGGGATTCAATATCAAAAAGAGGAGTTGAGTTCATTGCGCGGAAATTCGACCACACCGTGTTTCGGCTGCTATACGAGAAGAGAGGGAGCGAGATCCCAATCAAAGAGGGGATAATCATAGCAGCAGCCGAAAATAAGGACAATGGCGATGAAATTTTGCAACTGCTTTTACGCGAAAGAGGAAATGAGATTCAAATCACAGAAAGAATTGCAATAGTTATTGCGCGGAATTCAAGCCCAGCCATATTCCGTTACCTGCTCGACAGTCCACTCCATACAATCGGAATCACGCAAGAGGTGGTCGAAGCAGCAGCTGAAAATAAACGCAGTGGTGACAAAATTTTGGAACTCCTTTTTTACGAAAGGGGGGATGAGATTAAAATCACAGAAGGAATGGCAATAGCGATTGCGAGGAATTCAAGCCCAGCCATATTCCGTCATCTACTCGACAACCCAGTTCATACAATTCGAATCACACACGAGGTGGTCAAGGCAGCAGCTCAGAATCGTGGCTACGGCAAGGAAGTCTTGGAATTGCTTCTTAATAAAATGAGACATAAGATCAAAATTACAGATGAGGTTTTGGCGGCAGCTGCTGCAAATTATGGCAGCGGCAGGGACATTCTCACACTACTTCTTACCCTGAGAGGTGAGGAGATCATAATCACCGAAAAAGTGATTATGAAAGCAATTTTAAACGTGGGAAGAAGCGAGGAAATATTGCAGCTGCTTCTCGATAAAGGGGGGAATGAGGCCGTCATCACAAGCAGGCATATCGAAGTAGCGGCCTTGCTAGGAGCAAAGACCAACATATTATACGGGACAGAAACACTAAAACTGCTTCTTGACAAACAACAAAACGAATTTACGATTGCTGAAAAGGTGATTGAGAAGGTGCTCATCAGATTGTCGAGAGGGTATGGGAGTAGAGAGGCAGTGCTTGAACTGCTCCTGACAAAGAGCGGGTGCGATTTCCCGCTCACAGAAGGTGTTGTTGAAAGTATTGCACGGCATTGTCGGTGCTCCACGTTCCAGCTGCTACTCAATAAGCTCGATAACGAGATCCCGGATATACAAAACGCCATCGAAGCAGCGGCTGAGAACGAGAACAGCGGTCAGCAAATCGTGCAACTGCTTCTTGACAAACGAGGGCACGAAATCATAGTCACAGAGAAGATGATTAAAGCAGCAGCTCGGAACTCCACATACGGCAAGGAAATACTAGAATTGCTTTTCGAAAAGCGAGGGGATGAAATGCAAATTACTGATGAAGTCCTCGTCGCAGCGGCTAGAAATTCATATACTGGTAGAGAAGTGATGAAATTGCTTCTCCGCAGATCTAGGGATAATATGTCAATTACTGATCAGGTTGTCACGAAAGCGGCTGCGAATGAAGGTTGCGGTGACAGAATCCTGGAGCTGCTTTTGGATAGAGAAGGGGCAAAATTGCTCGTCACAGAAAAAGCAATTGCGAAGGCGATCCGGAACCTGCTACGCGGCAAGAGCATATTGGTATTGCTCCTTGGCACGCTCGGAGACGAGATCTCAATCACGGAGGAATTCATCGAACACCAAGCATCGACTTTCAGGGGCGGCGAAAAAATACTCGAGATAATTCTGAGCAAGCCTGGGAGAAGAATACGGATGACGGCGAGTGTGGTTGAGAGCCTTGGCTTCTCAATGTTCCCAAGAGAATTCCGGCAATTCTTCATAGCGCGACGCGACGAATTTAAAGTCACCAATGAGTTGATTGCGGGAGCACTTAGGGTCTGGGGCGGGAAAAAGGTTATTCCTCTGCTTCTTTCTAAACAAGAGCACGAAATTAAAATAACAGAAACGATGATGGTCCAGGCTGCGGAACAATACGACGACGGAGGCAAAGAACTTCTTATGTTTCTTTTTCAGAAACACGGGAAAGACGCTGAAATAACCAATAAGATTGTTACAGCCGCAGCTGGCAACTCTGGAAGCGGCAAGGAAATACTGGAACTGCTGCTTGACCAACGAGGTGAAGAGTTTATGATCACGGAAGAAGCCATCCTAACAGCCGCTCGGAACCCTAGAGGCAAGGAGATACTCGTAATGCTTCTTAGCAGAAAGGGGGAGTGGGTTCGTATCACAGATGTTGTGGTCGCAGCCGCGGCTGGGAACTCTGAAAGTGGCAAGGAAATACTAGAACTGCTTCTTAAACACCGAGGAGATGAGATCACGATCACGGAAGAAGTTGTTATAGCAGCCGCTGGTAACTCTGCAAGTGGTGAAGAAATACTGAAACTGCTTCTTGAACACCGAGGAGATGAGTTTATGATCACGCAAGAAGTTGTTATAGCAGCCGCTGGTAACTCTGCAAGTGGTGAAGAAATACTGAAATTGCTTCTTAAGAAGCAAGGGGGGCGGGGTCATATCACAGATAACATGGTCACAGCTGCAGCCGGGAACTCTCACAGTGGCAAGGAAATACTAGAAATTCTTCTTGGGCACCAAGGAGACGAGATCATGATCACGCAAGATGCTGTAGTAGCAGCTGCTGGAAATCCGGGTGGGCCAAAAATACTGAAGCTTTTTGTCGAGCGTAGTGGGGTGGATTTGACGATCACAGAGAACGTTCTCACGGCAGCAGCCGGGAATCATTTGAGTGGCAAAAAGGTCCTTGAACTTTTTTTTAGCAGAGACCAAAGGGAAATCCAAATCACAGTGGATGTGGCCAAAGCGATAGCTGAAAATATCGGAAGTGGCAAGGAAATTCTTGAATGGCTCCTGGACAAACAAGACAATGAGGCAATCATCAAAAATGAAGTTGTTGAGGCAGCAATTGCTGGCTACGACGGCGAGAAGATACTGGACATGCTGCTTAAATATGGCAGAAGATGGGAAACACAGGTCTCGGAAAGGATACTGAAGACCACTGCGCAAAGGTTCGGCCCCAAAATCATCCGAGAATTACTCAACATGCGCGCTGGAATCCCAATCACAGCAGAGGTAGTCGAGGCAGCAATTGGAAACCAACAACACAGCAAGGAAGCACTAACGGTGCTTCTGAACAACCAACAAACCGAGTTGCAAATGACCAGTGAGGTGATGGCGGCAGCTGCAGGGCATTGGAAACATGGAGACGAACATGTGAAACGGCTCTTCGAGAGTGGCTATGGGATGGGCTTTCCGATCACAGACGAAATTCTCGAAGCCGCAGTTAGGAATGAAGACAGAGGTATGAAAGTGATGGAGCTACTTCTTGACAGGCGAGAGAACGAAATCAGAGTAACAGCGGCGGTGGTCAAAGCAGCTGCTAGAAATCGCCAAAGCGGCGCGGCAATAATTAAATTGCTCTTCGATAAGCTAGGTGGAAATTTCCCGATAACAATAGCGATCCTCAACGCGGCAAGTCCTGGTACAGGACCGTGTATCCGTGAAGTTGACTACGCAGTCCTGCGTCTACTGCACGAAAGGCTTTGGAGCGACACCTCAGTCATGGTACAGGTGCTCAAGGAGGCATTCGGGAATAGGAGCATTACTGACAAGGTCTTGGTGCTATTATATCTGTGGGTAATGGTCTTTGCCAGCCTGTATGGACATCTTTACCGGTTCTGGCGAAAGATGATCTAAACGAATCTCGATATGAGGGCGAAGGTGCTGTGAGCTTCGACCAGCGGGACTACCGCAAATACAAAAATGGTTTAACCCAAGATACTTCCGCCAATAAGCTATTTAAGTGCTTCGGAGAGTTAGATGCACTGAGCTTAGTGATAAACTTCTTCAAGCGCTTTCCTCCATCCCTAAAGCATGGCTACATACTGAAACCTCGGATTGAAACCTTTTGCCACTCTCACTCTCTCTGCACACTTTCTCAGCTAGATGCTCTCTATGTAATTAGATTATCATATAAAAATCATCTTTAACTAACTAAAGTAACTCAAACAGAGGATAAATTTAAATAAATACAGTATGTAATTTCTTTTAAGGGTTGCTTTACTCAGTTATGCACATGATTTCATAAATCTCATGAAAGCACGTGACCTTCGGTGCGTTTCTGGACTAACCTTTCAATGGCTGCACCAACTTGCTCCAGTATTTACGCTTGATTCTTTCTTAAATATTTGCGACACTTCCTCAAACTGATCTTCTCGGTTCATTCGATTATAATCATGCCATTTCAATCACCTACTGTGGAAGTCGAACCGCCGCTGAAACGGAGGAAGATACGAAAGGGCACTACTAGTTGCTGGGAATGTATGTAAGAATACCAGAGTGACCTACGCGTGAATCGGAGGCTAGCTCAGCGTACCCAACTCTTGATACTAAGATACCTAGGTAAGAAAAGAAAAGTACGCTGCCACTTCATCTCTCCGACAAGCAAGGTCTGCGTTGGCTGCTCACGACGCTTCACGCCATGCTTGAGCCAGGAGTACGATGTTGTGGGCGGGGATTTCAACGGACAAGATGGCAACGAACTCGGCCAGGAGGCTGGTGCCTCTATGACACAGAGTCAGCGACTGGGACAAAAAGGGCCTGCCTCGTCACCGAAGCCTAGACGAGATCTTTTGGAGGACGTTCTCACGCTATCCCCAACAATTATTCCTAGAAATGCTTCTGAGACCAACATCCAACTTCTTGACTGCGCCGTTGTAAGTGCGCCGTGTCACAATATTCACACACAAGCCGCTTGTCCCTCCGCTAACTAGTATCGTGGAAGGTCGGTTCAGAGAATCCAGAGAGTCAGCAAAGACACATTTCGACCCAGAGCAGACGCTACAGAAGAATCTCCCGTGACCTGCACGCCGTCTTACCATCACAGCGTGATGCTGACCTCATCATTGCAGCCGGGAACACACCCTGCTTCCTGCAATTTTTCACCCGGCCCTACAAGGACCTCTTTCGTGGCAACATGCGACCTCCGTCTAGCCTGTCTGCTCTACCCAGTCCTTGCAGCCACCCAGTCCTCCTCGCCCGGACCCTGCTTTATCTCGCCCATGGAATTCAAAACCTACACCCGTCCACTTTCAACGCTGAGCAGCTGAGCCTTGCGTCTCATTCTAAAGCCATGCGGGGATACTTACATATAGCATCTACACTAGTCATCGGTGATGTTGAGATGCTCAGCTCTCTCGAAGGACTAGAATGTCTGATTCTCGAAGGAGTATACTATATAAATGCCGGGGACCTCCGTCGTGCGTGGTCAGTGTTTCGGCGAGCTATTGCCCTCGCTCAGCTTCTGGGCTTACCCAAGAGACACACCAGCCTCGTTGTTCTTGATCCTCAGTCGATGGCATCCCCTTCGTTTATGTGGTATCGAATCGTCCATCAAGATAGATACCTATCTCTTATGCTAAGTTTACCTCCCGGAGTTGATGAAGCCACCATCGCCGTTCCGGATAGACTAGAGCTGGTCGATTGTCCATCTGAATATCTCGAGCGTATTCACTGCGTCTTAACGGGACGAATGGCTGCTCGTAACAACAGTATCAATGAAGAGGACCTTGCGGAGTATTCAACAACATCGACTATTGACAAAGAATTGCAAAAAGCTGCCGAACATATGGCGCCTGAGTGGTGGCTGTTACCAACTACGAAACGCCAGGCCAACGGCGCCGTGACTGGGAATGACAAACTTGAAGATGTGTTACGAATCCTGGTCCACATCACGCATTTCCAGCTACTCATCCTACTCCATCTGCCGTATATGCTTCTTTCTTCTCCAGAGCGCCCATACAACTACAGTGAGGCGGCTTGCGTGAATGCAAGCCGTGAGTGTCTAAACCGCTACATACGATTTCGGTGCATGGACAAAGTCCCCTTTTGTTGTCGAGCCATCGACTTTGCAGCCTTCATCGCCTGTCTTGCCCTTCTTCTCGCTCATCTTGATGAGTCTTGTCGCAGTCCGAAAACAGCATGTGTTCTTGCACATCATCGCCTTAGCGACCGTGCCATGGTTGAAGAAGTGCTTGAGCTTATGAAAGGATTGGATCAGGAAAGTAACGATGAGGATGATGTGCTCCTACGCCAGACAGCAAGTATCCTGGCGCACTTATCCTCCATCACAGCGGATGCCGCGAGCCGGACTAATGACAATTTGATAAATGTCCCGACAAGCACAGACGCGGATATTTCAAGTCACTGTCTTCGGCTTGCGATACCATGCTTTGGTAGAGCAAGCATTACTAGAAATGGTATCCACAAAGAGAAGCGGTCGGATGAGAGCTACCACGGGGTGCATGAGGCATCGCCCTCACTTTCCTCCTCTACCAGGCTTGGAGTACGGCAAGAGGGGTCATCGGGAACAATTTTGCAGGGCGATTTGTTGACAGGAAGTTTCATGCAGATGTATACTCAAGATATTTCCGTGGATCAATTTGCAGAAAACGACTGGACTCAACATGAACTCAACGCCTCGTCTTTTGAAGAACCTCTGGTACTTTCATACGATTATGGTATAGGGACTGGTTTGTTTCTACCTTCCACGCAAGAATCCGACCAACGACCTGGGATGAACGAGCTCTAGAGCATCAATCCTCAGGCCGAAATTAGTATGAGAGTCAATATTTCAATGTATTAATATACTCGAGTTTAACAAGACCATAATCTAGATATCAAAGCACAAGAGTTTCCAAAGAGATACCGCATTGACGGAATACTACTACCTAATTCTTGCAATCACCCTTGGGTAAGATGGGAGTAAATGTAGCTGCAATCACAGGCTCTAGGGAAATCTCTGCAAGCTACAAAGTTATAAGGGAGCAAATCTCTGTAGTTATTGGTCAAAGGAAAACCTCTTACTTCGATCACTTATTCACCGTCGTATAATTTTCTATCGCCAAACGAATCCATGCTCAAGTCCACTATTAGTGTTCCTTATTTCTAGCCAAGTCCTACTCGAAATTCCAAACATATAAACACAGATATTGTTCAAGCTTCGGAAAGACCGGATTTGCGCGAGTACTAGGAAGATCTTCACCCAAACAAACGAATCTCTCTTAAATATAGACTTCATTTTGATAATATCGAAGAGAAAGGTGAACTTAATCGAAACAGCTGATTAATGAGCTCCCTGGAGGTTATAACCATTACATAGACTTGAAGCTTCAGGAAGATCTGTGTCGTATATGATCACGGTGCTCCCTCCCCAACAGGGAGGTTGACACCATTCACATCCAGCGCTGTCTCGCTCAATAACCACACTATGCTTCGCGCGACATCCGCTGGATCCAACAATTTGGTGTTAATGCCTGCCTTGCCGAGCTGCTCCTCGGTTTCCTCTTTCGACATATGACCGAAAAACTCGCTCGTCATAGCCGTGAACGTGTTTCCTAGATATAGTCAGCAAGCACAAACTCTACTTTTATATGTCTTAATTCTCTACGACCTCGTATTCTTCTTCTCCCATTTTCCTAGTATGCTCCTTCATTAAAATTATCGGATGGGACTTACCGGGTGAAACAGTATTGGCACGAATGCCCAGAGGATATACGTCCTTAGCAACACAAGCTGTGAAATGCGCACACGCGACTTTGGAAGCCCCATATGCAAAAGCACTGGGTCCTCGGATCAAAGATGCCATGCTCGACACATTGACAATGGCCGGATGACTCCCCTTCGCCATTTCCGCCATGGCGCGAACTTGGGCACGAGTACAGTACATGATTCCATTGAGGTTGACTCCCAAGACGTGATTCCAATCTTCATTCGTCTGCTCGAGGATTGCCGGATGGGTGGATGAAAATGCAGGTTGGCTCACACCCGCAACGTTGGCAGCGCCGTGGAGGGCGCCGGACTTGGCCATGATGGTAGCGATCCAGTCATCGACCTGCTTCGGGTCGGAAACATCAACGACGTCGGTGTAGACTTGGGTGATTGGGTTGACCTCGGTGACCTCGTCCTTAATCTTGGATAGGGCTTCACGGTTAAGGTCTGCTATCCAGATTGCGCCGGCGCCATGATGGGCGAGGAGGTGAACTGTGGCAGCGCCCATGCCAGAGGCGCCGCCTGTGACGCAAAAAATGCGAGACCCGAGGGAGACACTGAGTGATGGAAGATGAGCCATGATTGCTGATGAACTTATTAACGTTCTTAGTGAGCCGAGATGGGATAGTTTGATGATCTTGAGAATTGCGACTGAGTGACAAGAGACCTGGCATGCTGCAAATTTACGTGTTGGAAGCTTTTTATAGGTTTTAGAGGCCATCACGATACAAATGATGCGCTCCAATCCTAGGCCAAACTAACTCGGTGGACAGGATTTCAGTCCTGGAAGCAGAAGCTGCGATTTCCGCCGTCATGCTTTTAGAATTTGCTCACTGGCTTTCAAACGTATTCGTGACTATAGGTAGGTTCCTGTACGCTAGAGTCTCTGAAGTAGCTTATCTCCGCCGACGTTATGCGTTCTCGACCAATAAAGTTTGTTCCGCCGAAATTACAAGCTGTTCCCCGATGTTCTCTTCCTCCGAAGGCTTCCTCCGAACTCTTCCTCCGATTATGCGACCCACCCAAATATCGGCTGACCTTCAACCCATGACACGGAACATACTTCCCACCTGAAATTCGGGGTTATTGCCTCGGAGGAGAGATAATGTCGACACCTACCTTAACTTCTAACTAGGCAATGGCTGACTCTTCTTAAGGAGATCATCCCCCGCGGGTCCAAGACAACTCTAGGAACGTTGACTTCCTTGTCAATTCACTTATTTACCGAACAAATCAATAACCATACTTGGCCATCCTAATTGTTTATCCTAAGCTTTCTCGGTATCCCACCTACGCAATGGCTTTTCACGTCCCCCAACTTGACTTATCCCAATATCAATTTCCCCTACAGGCCTTCATAGGCGGGGAATTTGTCGACAGTACGGGCAACGACAAACATACTCTGATATCTGCCGTCAACGATGAAATTATTACAAAAGGTTGCCTCATTATGCCGCAATTATGATAGAATCTAACAAAGTTCAGAGCTCCAGTGGTCCAATTCTCAAGATGTCGATCTGGCAGTCGAAGCCGCGGAGAAGGGTTTGCAGCAGTGGAAGTTGATGAGCAGGGTAAATTTCATGTGATTAGCGATATGATAGATGTGCTAATAGATAATGTAGGAACAACGGCGAGATGCACTTGTCAGGTTTGGCACCCTCATCAGAAAGAATCGACAACAGCTTCATTGGCTTGAAGCCGTATTGGTTGGAAAAGATGCCGGCTTTAGCAATTTTGAGATTGGGGCTGCCGCTGACCTCTTCATCTGTAAGATTGCCTGTTCTTGCTTGTGTCATTGACTTTGTGGCTGATTTTGAACTGAACATGCTGACATGAGTCCGGCAATAGATTATGGCAACATGATTGACAAATTTGGTACTGAAGTTCTGCATGCGGAAGACGATACAATGAGGGTATGAGGCAGACCAGATATCTGAATATTCCCCCGTCCTTTTGTGATTATCCAACGCTCACCAAAAGAAAATACAGTATACTCTCCGACAGCCGTGGGGTGTTTGCGCCGGCATCTGTCCCTTCAATGCCCCTCTTATTACCCTCGCCATGAAAGCTGCTCCTGCGTTAGCTTGCGGAAACACCATTATCATCAAGACCAGTGAGACGAACCCCATCTCAACCTTGTTTATGGCGTCCCTCTCCTGTCAAGCCGGCTTGCCACCTGGCGTCCTCAACTGCCTCGTTGGCGGTGCCGAAGTAGGCGATGCTCTGGCCTCGCATATGCGGATTCGCAAAGTGAGCTTCACTGGGAGTGTGGGCGTTGGAAAGTTAATTCATATCGCCGCTGCGAGATCGAATCTCAAAAGCGTAACGACTGAACTTGGTGGAAAGTCCCCCATCATCGTATTCCCTGATGCCGATCTAGATGGAGCATTGAAGGCGGCAACCATGTTTCTCATGATGAATGGGCAAGGATGTGCCCTCGGAACCCGACTTTACTTGCATGAGTCTATTGCCGATGCATTCGTCGATAGACTGTCAAGTGCCATTCAGGAACACGCGAAGGGACTAGGAGGCGGCCCCATGTCAAAAGCAACCTTGTCCTCGCCGCTTTACCACCACCGGCAGAAAGCGGCTGTCATGTCATTTATCAAGGCTGGGCAGAATGAAGCTACACTCCTATGGGGCGGTAGAGCTCTTGGGGAGAAAGGCTGCTACATCGAACCTGCGCTCTTCATTGACCCTTCTCCAGACGCTCGAATTCTCAAGGAAGAAATTTTCGGGCCCATCCTGGTAGTCTCGAGATTTTCGTCGGATGATGAGGTCCTACAAATGGCCAACGATACAGAATTCGGACTCGCTGCCTATGTTTGGACCAAGGACCTCGGACGGGCCTTGAGATTTGCACAGCAGTTGGAAGCTGGGAGTGTCAGCGTGAATGGAGCTGGAGGGTTCAGCCCCGATGTGCCTATGGGAGGTTGGAAACGTAAGTCTTGCCCTGGGTACTGTTATTTCTAAGCTTGGGGAGCTACTGCGGAAAGACTTTACGTTGAACTAACTTCCGTATCCTTTTTCAGAAAGTGGCCAGGGACTTGAGAACGGGAAGGAAGCTATGTTAGACTGGACACAGTCGAAATCGGTGGCGATTATGAGTTGAAACGATATTGTAGGACTCAGATGGATAGAGTAACAAGGACTGACTCATTTAACACTGGCGGTCCTTCTTTAAGTGTCTCTTCGGCCTATTGAACACTATATATCTTCTCAAAACTTCTTAAATGAAAGATACGGTACTTAAGCCCTTTTCTCATTGGGGTAATTTGAATAAGGTACTCAGCTAGGTCTAAGCTACAGAACTATCTAATACTAGAAGTTATAGAAGGCACAGCCTCTTAGACTCACCATATCAACCATATCCGTGAGCCTATTAGTCCCGACCCCAACACCCGAGCAAGATTACCAGCCAGTAGGATACTGATCTTTCAAAAGACCAAAGCCTTCCTTCGGGATCGCGTAGAGGGTAGCATTGTTATTGTAAAGCTGAAAGTCCACGCCCTCACGAGCAACATTATTCCCCCACCATGAAAAGTCCACGCCCTGGCCAGCACCAAATCCAAAGACGAGCGTCGTGATCAGACCAGCAATGGCCACACCAACGCTGAGACCGGCCCAGATCAAGTAGGCGTACTTGCCCCACCAGGCCGTGTAGCGTCGCTTGAGATACCACTGGAATACGAAGGCCAGGTACATCTGAAGCGTGGCGTAACTCAGGTTCTGGTTTCCGGCCCACTTCAGGGCACCGGAGAGGGCGATGGCCGGGTTGAGGCAAGCCATAGTGCTGGCCGCAGGTTCCCAGAAGTATTTGTCGAACCGGGCAAACGATTCAGATTCAGTCCGGCTCTTGAAATGGATACGGACGCGTGGGAGGAACTTCTCGCCGGCGATCCAGGCAACGCCTAGGATCGCACCGAGGAGGAAGCACCAAGGCAGAATGGGGTACAGCTTGAACATGTTGTTGGTGCCAAAGGCGCCGAATAGAATGGTTGACGACCAGATGGAGTGAGCATACTGGCAGACCATGTACTGGCGGTTGTTCCATGTGCACAACGTGTTGTCTGTGTTAGCGTACCATACGAGAAGCTCGATGATACCACAGTAGATTAGACAATTGAAGATTACAGAAGAAACGTGACCACGGAACACGGCACGAGGGGGGATACCGGCATAATGGGCCTTCTTCAAATCAGCACTGAAGCCACCAGCCATCTGCTCAAAGGCGGCACCAAGCATGAGAAGAATAAGCTGAGGCAACGGCTGACCTGGGAACCAAACACCAGGCAACACTTGCCAGATGATATTGAGATCAATGCCAGTGCTCGCAATGGACTCAATGACGACCCAGGGGATTGTGAGCAAGGCACCGATGCCGGTAACACCAAGAATCGACCACCAGGGAGTCTGCGTCGGCCAGGCCGTCAAACTAATAATGGAGACGGCAAAGCCGAATGCGAAGACGATCCCGTACCACCATTCAGGGACCTCCTTGTATCTGCGCATCATACGTGTCTGACCGTCCACAAAGCCGGTGTAAATGCTACGTCGCTTCCAGGCGTTGACGATAATGCCGACAAAGGCCTTTTTGATGGCACCCCAATATTTGGTGAACACATAGACAATTGAAAACGTGTAGTACACGAAGTTGCAGCCTGTGACGAACAAATTGGCTATGGCGTAGTACGGAGGACCATACTCGAGATACCTGTCCATGTCGATGCGCTGGGTGCCGTCACCGAGAACACGAGTAATATTGTACGCCTGACCTTGGTTGTCAAAGGCACCATTTGAGTTGATGGGCATGTAGGCACCCCAGAAGGCGTTCTTGTAGTACATGATGAGGATAATAACGCCAGCAAACAGGCGCATAACGTACTGCTGTAGTTGAGCAAAGAAGGGCGAGTTCATGGTCTCCATACCAGACACGTTCGGGTCGAAGCTAGAAATGGGGTTGAAACCCATACCGCCGTAAGAGCCTGTCACGACAGCTAGGTTGAAGTTGTTGGGAGCAATCCACGTCATCCAGTTAAAGAGGCGGAGTGACACGAAGAACTGGTTGGGGATCCAGTAGTAGACAAGGAAGACAGCTGAGCACACCAGGAACATCCTATAACGCGATAGTTTCCAGCCATTGACTGTTTCGCGCTTGTTGTCCTGGTTAATCAGCGTGCGGTTTAGGGCAAGAACGGGTAAGACCTTGGGCCAGACTGCCTCGACAGGGTAAACACTGAGACGGCGGAGAATGCCAGCCATGCCGAGACCATAGACCTGATTAGCGAGTGCGAGCATGATATTGAAGCCAAAGGTGGCCCAGCGCTGGTTGAAGAAGACAGGCATGCGGAGCACCAGCAGCCCAGTGAAGTTACCGATGCTGGAGGCGCCAGTAAAGATGATGGTGGAGAATAGCTGCTCCTTGGCCGTCCATGGCCCTGGGTTGAGAGTGTACCGTGTGCCGCGGAAGGTTACGCCCCAGTCCGGGAGAGCCCAAGCTGCAAAGCGGCCCATGGGCACTAAGAGAAGCTGGACAACGGAGCCTGGAATGGAGATGCCGGGTTGACGAGGTGCAAAGACTATAAATCATTGTTAGTATTCCCCAGCCTCGTTCACTTCAGAGATGTAGGAGATATTGTGATGACTTACAGGCATTGACAGCAGTGCAGACACAGACCCAGAAGTATCCAAGGGCATATGCTCGGATACTCTCACAGGATTCCTCATGGTCATCATAAGGCAGTGTCACGGCGCGCACTTCAGTGTACGGCGACCAATTATGGCACAAACCAGCACGCTTGCACACCTCATATTCCCATTCTCCCTGCTCCATCTCACAGGCTTTGTGGCCCTGTAGCAGCTGACGAAAACGACCCAGCATCTGCTGGTCAATTGTGTAGTCATTCTTTTGACTCTCAAGAAGCTTCTCCAGAGTGTCGAGGGACTCATCCACAGTGAGGGTCAAGACCGACACCGCCATGCGGTCGGGATCGCAGCCAGCAGGGAGTGTCTCACCATCGTGCTGACCAGTGTAGTCCGCCTTGATACGCTCAAGCCACTCCAGAGGTGGGAACAGAGGAGTGGTGGAGTCAATTGGTTGCTTCTTCTCTTCAGAGACGCTTGTAATCTCAGGCTCGCTGGAAGGCAACGCCTCGACAACACGGTCATGATGGCTAGACATGATGCTACTTGCTGGACAACATAAGGTGCTGTATCGAGGTAAATCTAAGTGGCAATTATTTTGGCGTCAGAGTGCCGAGGAGGTTGGGGATCATGGGGCTGGGGAGACTATTATACATTCCGCCGGACAGATGCTTGGGGGGCGACTATTTAGCTCAAAAGAACATGGTATATTGAAGCTGCCAAGCAAGCTCATGGGATCAATTTCGAGCGGGGTTATCGTGCTACGTAGTACAATCCCATACTTATTGAATTCGTATCTCCACTTCAATCCCCATGGTTGTGGTGGCGAGAGGGGGGCGATACGGGAGGCCCAATGGTCTGTCGAGGACGATCTTCAAACCACCCGGAAGAATTGATCCTTCCTATCAAGGATTGCGTAGAATGGGTGTTAGCAGGCCTGGGGTAAAAATGGCGTAGACCAATGGGAGGTCTCAATCCTCACTCAATGTAACATAAATCAAGTCCTCGGGCCAACAGTGGCTTAAAAATCCATGTGATAAATCCCCAAGAACCATGTAACCACACCCCAATCTTCCATTGAGAGTAGAGAAGCCGCAGCTCATTCACAAAAGCGAACAAGATAACACCCGGCCCTGCCATTGTAGCAGTTAGACAATGGCAGACAGGGACAGATAAGGACATGGTCATGGGAATCCTAAATCTGGGGCTCCTTTTCATGCCAAGCGTACTTTGTGAATTTACCCCGCAAACAGTGTCGATACCCTCTCCTGCCTGTTAGGGTTAAAGTAAATAGATACAGTGATAGAAAACATAAGCCATAAACAGTCTTTAACAAGATTGGTCATCTGCTAGGAAAAGTTCATCTGCTGCAAGAAGACGTTGAACCTGTATATTATAATATGAACCTCAACTTCCCGCATTTAATCCCCTGCCTTGAGGGAATCGTTGACAGTGTTTGGGGCAAAACTTGTCTACTCTACTAATAAGATCCCTCCGATGAGGCTGAGTCTTTATTGCGTGGGTAAAGAATGATAGTTGATGACCTGCCGCTGACAATAGCCATTTGGAAAGGCCATACTAAATCTAGATTTGGGGGCCGACTCTGGTATCCCAAACAGGCTTGAATGAACTCCTTGGGCCGACGCAAAACAGTTCAATCTAGTGGACGCTTTGCGAACAATTGGAGAAAAGATGAAAGATTTCAAATACGATCGACATCGAATACCTTGCTTAATTTGGATGACCATATTAGCTGCGGTGTCCCTGTGGGAGCATTTGATACATCTTATCATCGGAGGGAAGATGTATTCATCTGGGAATCCTTTTAGTCTAACCCGCAACATAATAATCAGAGCATGTTTGAATGTATTTAGCAAGACAACCCCTATGCTAGATAGGAAATTAGCTCGATTGGTTGAATAATCCGAGTATTAGAAACCGGGAACAAGACAGCGTAGATGTTATGCAAAAGCTGATCGAATGGAATTCTAGCATGGACATGAGACAAGACCTAGATGTTTTCGGGGATGAATAGGAACACTTCGATCGGGGATATTGAAGAGGCAGGAATCCGTTCATTCATTGCCTTCTATAGAGTTTACTACAAGTAAGCCACCACGAGGTAATTGCAACTGCGGAGGTTGGGGCGCGAACCTTCTCTTAAGCCCTGGACGACTCTAAGTACCTTTTTCAAACTTTATATCAGGTGGCTAAGTCAGATGTGGCCCAAAACAATGTTCTCTATTGGCTGTTTGGGTTACCCTTTTTGTTTCTTTTATGCATCACATAGGAACACTTCGGAAGGCCGGGCGGTTGATGCTATAGCAATTTCGGGAGATTCAGGGTCGGCCGAGAAATGGACACATAGCCACCCCTGATCGACCAACGAATCTGCTGGGTTAGGGTCTCGACAATCTATGTAACAGGAACATCGGGAGGTACATAGTGAACGATATTAATAACGCAAGTGATGTCCTGGTGAAGTGGGGATGCTAGAAATATGAAGGTTGGGAGCCCACTATTGTGCTGCAATGCTGCATGTTATGCATAAGGGCGGCGATAAACGATGGCTGTGGCCGAATGGCGTGGCAGGCATTGATCAACTGTCTTCGATAAAATGTCAATTGGCCCAGAAAATTTAATTTTGTAAGTAAAAAATGAGGCCACAACGAAGAAACGTCGAGTGTACAGCCAACCGATGACGGCGTTATGCCAACCGATGAAGGTGCTCAGCCGGAGCTGGTCTTGAGGGAGATTCCTGAGCATAAACCACATAAGAAGGTGCCTATTCGATTGGCCACTCACCTGCAAGTATGGGTTGGCGCATTGATGATGTCCCACAACCAGAGGCGCCAGGCCTGTGGAGGATCTGCAGTTCATTCGTTCGTTCATCCATCGAGCATTGACGAGGCGGATCCGCAATCAAGCATCCCCCAGCCGTGAGGCGCGTAAGTAAGCCCCGATGCGACGGCCGATGAGCTGGCGATGCGTCGGTTTGTCTGGACTCTCATGCTCCCGACACACTCCGCGTTTGCATTTCCGTCGGGAGATTGCGAATGGTACGATTGTTTGCATCTGATGGGCCCGGGCGGCTGCGCTGTCGAGATCAGATTCGTCTGTCTCATCGAGGCATGAATGGCTGTCTGGCAATTGGCCTGGAGGTGTTTGATTTCATGCAGGAGCATTGCAGTGCTCCATTGGTTACGTGAATTGGCATGCTGAAGAAGGAAATATTATCCTGATGTTGTATTCTCGATACGTCGAAGATGTGCTCGAAAGACATAAAAGGCGATTGTGATCCTCGAGTAAATGCCTTTTCCTCTCTCCTCATCGCTCTCATCTCTCAAATACAACTCAACAAAACCAACAACCTTTCAACCCTTTTCAACCTTCAACATGTCTGCGTGAGTATTCCTCATCCATATTACTCCAACCACCATAGAAAGGGGGTCAGTTCCTAAATAAAATACATAGCACCGCCGATAAGCAGTTCACTGTCCCTCTCCCCACTGCCACTGGTCTTTCTACCCCTGCTGGTAAGTTCTAAAACTTCCTTCCTTCTTCCGAACCATGATTGTTGTGTATTGACGGCTTTTGGACGACAGGCCAGCTCATCAAGGGCGCTACTCAGGATGACGGCAAGCTCCGCGATGCTGCCCTTCTCCTCGGTATCAAGCTCGACCTTGAGGCCGAGGTCCACCTGACTGCCCGTGTCAAGGGTGATGTTGTTGTTGGACTGTACTAGGTGTATTGTTTGAGTGAGAGAGCGGTAGTAAAGCCTAGAAGCTCCCCGCTGCGAGTGTCTAGATCAAATCGCCAGCCACCTCTTACTTATTGTCAGCCAGCGAGTCGGTTTAGCTTCGGGTCTACAATTAAAAAAACATATTATTCTTCAAGTCCGGGTACATATTACTCGTACACTTGGCCAAATACTGTGTGACATGTTAATTCATCTACCAGACTTAAATCGAGGCAGCTCTGAAGCCGTGGAGTGTTCCTCAGGCTTGACCCACCGGGTCAGGTCGCGTTCTCAAGAAGGCCAGAGGCATAGCATATCGGACCTTTATTAGAGCCATGCATTAACGAATGTACCTTAAAGGCGCATTGAACCATGAACTTCCCAGATTCAATACATGTGTTGAGCTGATTAACGCATGCATATGCGAGTCAAGCAAACCATAATATCTAGATAAAACCACAGCGACATACACCATAAGACACAGTTGACTATCCAATTGATTTCTTTAAGCTCAGTGCCCTCTAACCTCATTCCTACACTGAACATTATAGAAAGCTCGTCTACTTTCAGGGAGAAAGTACAAAGAAGTCTCATGAGTCCAAGACCAATTAATTGGTAGATAGAGTTCGAGCTTTCAAGCTAACAGAGGAAGTCAGTATCCAGTTGTGAATCATGCATTCGATCCTAACCAAACATGCTTCATTTTCCTCTTCTCTGATTCAAACCCCAGCAACAGAGTTTACACAAATTGAGGCCCCCGTTGCATTGTAGCATCATAGTGTAAACTAAGGTACCTGAGTCATCAAGTTAGGCAACGTGCCAGAGTGGTTAATGGGTAGCACTCGAATCATCTTAGTGATGCTATGACTTCGGTCGCGCATGTTCGAATCATGCCGTTGTCGAAATTTTTTGCAATTTTTGTCACTGCTGCTGGATGACTAATAATTAGGTATTGTCGCAGACCCTCCCGGCTCTTCAAGCAACCCATACCGCCTTAGTTTCAACATGAACAATTTCGTTCTTTCTTTTAAAATATTTCTCAAAATACGCTTCATTCAGAAATGGGAACAAACCCTTCGTTCTTGAGTCGAAAACTACATTCACTCACTCCTCTTCTCTAATCTCATTGGTAAGTTGTGATGTGGCTGGGTAAATCGGTATGGCTCTATAGGGTAGCTGTTATGACAAGGTGTAGCACTTAGCAAGAGAAAGAGTAGATAGTTTGGAATAAAAAAAGATTCGAGAAGACTGCTGATTGTACTAGACAGAAAAGAATGTCGAGCTGATGGCGCCAGGGCTAAAATTAGTTGGGTGTCTTGACATGTTCTGTGAATAACTATGATTCTGCGGAGGGCACTTGGAGGACATGTACGCTGAAATATTGAAGCCTAAATTTAGAGAGCTCCGAGCCTTTCTAGACTGAAAAGTTGACAATCTCTATCATAGGCTCCGGAGGACAGTAACTGAATGATCTTACAAGTCTTGAAATAATTGAATTTTGTAAACTTTATTATTGCTCGCGTGGCTGATGTTTGTTGCCAGTCACGTTGATGGTCTCCTCCTTCGGATTTCTTCTGAGCAGCAAGCTGAGGCTCTGGATTTCCCGCTAGATTTGGAAACTCTTCAGTGTAGCCTAGACGCAGGCACAGCGCAGCTAGCCACTGCACCTCCCAAGCAGTAGCCAGCATCGAAACATCGAGTTGAGAAGAATGTCTTCATTCCCAGAGGACTCCTTCCTCAGCCTCCGACTTTCGATCTCGGGGGCAAAGACTTCGAGGTCTGTTCTTGAAAGCAGCTCTTATCGTCTCTTTCTTCAACTTATGCTTCTGAACAGCAAGCTATGTTCTCATCATACCGGCCGGCTTTCGCAACTCCTTGAAACTCTCCTTTATAAGTAAACAAGTTAGCAACCGTTTTTATCTTTATTTACGACATTGAAGAAAGAGGAGATATTAACAGTTACGGATTTTTCTGTTTCGCTTGAACAGATCAGCATAACTTCGGCAGCTCTCGCTCGGTTGCGAGAGTATAGAACTTTCAGAGCGAGTTCTTCAGTAACTCCCTGATCAACCCGTGCAAGAAGATCTACGCCGTTGTCGGATTGGGTGTTGCGCAAGGAACAATTAATTTTCCCGCATTAATACTTAACATCTTTAGAAGTCCTTCGTCATTCATAGTGAATGTCAATTTGTCCCGTAGGTTCAGAAAGACCCGGAGAAGAACTAAAGAATAGTAGAAATCGTGAAGAATTATTTGTAAAGAGCTGGAGACCCGGGTCCCTCCAATTGGTGAAGCTAGACCCCTTGAAGGTCTCGAAAATATACAGAGATTGAGCCTTTAGAGCGTCTCTGCTTTCTGGGCAAAGATGATGTTGATGCACGCGAGAATTGAACCGAGTCAGGAAAATAACTCAGGCACACGAGTCAATCAGGTCGTCCAACAAGAATGAGTCGGGCGGACAGAGTTCACAAACGGGAAGCTCATCTTTTGAAAGATCAACGAGATATTGCTGTATCACCGCCACTTTCCGATCGTGGTCTTAGGGGAATGGATCTATGCCCAGAGCCTTGAAGCTTCTCGTCAATTGACTGACGATAATGCTAAATTGAATGTTCGCCTTTCTTCGAAAGTCACAGCGTTAGCTACCCTTCTTGTTGCATTACCAATTGACAAAATTTGGGGCTTTTGTTTGGACTTTATATTCCTCTTGATGGGCTGAAAAGCCGCTCCTTGAAACTTAATGATCCTCCAGGTCTGTAGCCATGAAACAATTAACATGCTGAGCCGATGAAAGAATCCTCACGTATCACTAGGCTCTTGAACCATTAAATGAAAAAATATAGCAAGAAAAAAAACAAATATATGGTTAGTAATCTTGCCAGATATATCTCTATCGTTAAGCAGTTTTGAACTTCTCCCTAGTATTTACTTGGCCCTGCCAACGATTGCGATCTCATCATCCGACAAGGTGCGCTGTTCAACCTGCATGCCGTACGTTTTCTGCACGTAAATCTGCCCATACTTCTGATTGCTCTTGTGTATATCATCAAGGGGGATAGACTCAGCGACCATGACGGACCTCGTTCTGTTAGGCACCAGCCCGTCTGGTCCCCGGCTCACTGAACCGTCTCCGATGTACTTGTGACTGAGCCCAGAGCGCTGACTCGACTTCTTCCCAGTGTAGTTTCTGATATTCCTTGTGAGCAGCGCCTTAAGCGGTAGTAAAGATCCCACAATGACCGCTGTCATTGTCTCTATGGCGCCCCAGATGGCCAGACCTATCATGTCCACAGTCTGGCCGACTAGAATCTGGCTCATGCGGACGAGTGCAACGGCGATGATGATGAAGCCGATACTGAATGCGATGCCGAGGCCAATCTTTTTTCTTCGGTTGAGTTGGAGCGATGGGAGAACGGCGATGGGGAGCGCCATGATCATTACGTCGGATGCGATGTCGACGGAAGTGGAATAGATAATGTTGAATCGAGACATCCACTTCTCGAAGGTTCGTCGCAGTTGCCTGCGAGTAGCGTGTTATTAAACTGCAACTGGAAGGGAGTGGAAATGTAGAATAACTGGTCAAAAAGACTGGAGAGTCATACCTGGTATGAAGTAGTCGCCAGGGTTAGTGCAAGTCAAGGTACTTGCAAGCCAGCATCCAATGTATGCTATCGTCGTAAACGCGACCACTATGAACCAACATATCCGAATCCACTTGGTTGGCTTCACCAGAGGATAAAAGGCGGCTAAGAAACTGGCTTTGACCGACCAAAGTACCGTCCAAAAGAGCTTGATGACTGGGAACTGAAACCGTAACATCTGCGACATCTGAGGAAAGACTTGGGGGTCGTTGGCGGCGATTCTCCCGGAGGTGAGGTAAGTAAAGAACCACAGCGAGCCTGTCTGTACCGTCTGCAAGATCGCCATGGTCGTCACGCAGAGCCAAGCCCATACCATCCAGTAGTCGTCGAACAAAAGGCGACCGTTCTGGCGCCAGCGCACAGTAAGGCGGAGGGTCACGAAGAGAGAAGCAACGGAATAGCATGTCCAGATGATGGCTAAGAGACCGGTGTGGTTGACATGAGCGGCAATTCCCTTCAGTGGCGCGTCAGGATAGGCCTGAGGGGCCTCTGTTGACGGCCCTGAGGACGACATTTCGTTGAGGGAGAGACAATGAATCAGGTAGATACGAAGAATCTCAGCGAGCAAATAGAGATCATGTGCCGTTGATCCTTTCTACATGATGAAGAAAGAACGAGTGAAGGATGCCCGGACGGCAGATGGGGGTGGAGGCAAGACGTAGATCAAATGGGCTTACGACTGAAACAGGTATCGAGATTCTTCATGCCGTCCTTCTATCAGATGTATCGTCTCCCCTAAAGGAAACACATAAAATAGACACCACTTCTCTCGGCCAAACCAGAAAACCACTAACCCTGCTTCTGGGTATGCAGTAGTACCCCGTGGATGCATCGTAGATGCATAAGCGACGCCTCTCGGTCACTTCATTCCTAACAGGGAAGAAAAACAAGCTGCTGCCATACAATACCCAAAAACCTTAACGCTTGCCCCTGACTACTTCGTTTATCCCTACTAGGCTTTGCGTTGTATTACTGGACTGGTTATTTGATGCGAGTAACCCCCACCCTTGCTTGGCCTGGGCTTCATCCGGGCCTCACCTGCGGCGGTATTCGAAGTCAGATAGGATGTGAGACATTGCCTGTGCATTTAGCCACCGTAGGATCGCTCTAGCCAAGCCGGCGGTATTTGGGGCGCTCCTGAGTGGTTTAGTTATCATGGCACATCCGATGGGGGCCTGAACGCTAGCTAGAACAATATGATGACCAAGAGAACCGGTTCATATTTGCTTTTTGTCGAACCAAACTGACACAGTCGCAATAACTGCTGAATAGCCGAGACGAGAGTCCACCGCAGGCCTGGATTCCTCTTGGAAATTTCACGTGTGACGAGCTGGAAGGATGGCAAGGTGTGTGCGCCACAGGTGAGAAAACAAATTTCATCACACTTACCCGACTGTCCCTTTCCTGCCAAAGACGGTTAATTACTCGAGCTGTTGGTTGCTGTTGGTTGTTGCATGCATGTATGATCCTGCACACGAAACCGACACTAATGCATCGGGACATTAGCTTGGGAAAAGATCATCTCCGAATGTCACTCGGCTGTCGTCCTCTTCTCTCTCGACATGAGAACTCACACAAGGTGAGACAATTATTTCATGTAGGGTTGTGAGGGTGGCGGAGCGCGTTCTTTCGTTTCTTTTTCTCATGGGCGTCAATCTCTTTCGTGATTTGCCCTTAGCCTTGGTGATCCCGCGAGATAATGACCCATCCGTGGTGCTCGTTCCGGATCTACCTCACTAATCAAGCTTGTTTGACAATTACCACTTAGTGCCCGTCCACAAGTGGCGGATGGCACGGCTTCTTTTGCCATCCGGGCTATGATTCCCAATTGTCCAGGTATCTACCTTGGCAGATAGAAACATGGTTAGATACATACATGGGACCCTAGCCATTGTTAATCTGGTAATCCTAGACCAACTGCATGAGCCAAGTGTGATGACTGCTCCCCAGAAAAAGCAAAGATGCCCAGCCCCATCCCGGCCCCTGGGGCTTTTCAGCCGGTACGTGATAGGAAAGGTGTGATAAATCGAATGTGCTCAGACGTTCTATTGTCTACTTGAGCTAAGAGGGGATTGGTTCGGAAGAAATGAGGGGCTGAGAGAGGTATTTTGCTCTCCCTTGCTTCTAACTCTGCACCTGTGTTGGCTCGTACGCGGTCCTTCATCAGCCGAACGACTAATCCGGTGGAGGTCTAGCCGACAGGACATCGTTACGCTCAGCCTTTTTGGACACCAAGGGAGGCCTCTACGAGTTGGTTTTTGCAACTAGGGCTAACTTTGTTTACAGCTCAAGCTTGGACAAGACAGCCAACAGCAGCACCAACCAGCTATGAGCTTGTTAATGGGAGGGGCCGGCCGACCTTGGCTCCAATAATTAAGGGTGGAGTGCGTCAATAGACCGAGGAGCAGTTCATCATTCCCTACCATGGACAACCAACATCATGACTGACTGTTCGCCAACAGTCAGCAGCAAGGGTCCAAACGAGCAGGACGGATGGACCCTGGCTTGGCAGTTGGTTCCTGTGCCTGTGTCTTTGATGGCTCCGAGGAATCACCCATCGAAGGGGCCGCAATTTCTCGACTGCTTCTTTGCTTTGTTGATCGTCGTCGTAGCACTTTGCCCAGTGTAGATCACAACGAACCGCGAACACTCTTCACGATGCGGTCTAAATCACTGGCGCTTCTCGTCGCAAGCGTCTTAGCCTCTGGACTTGTCCTGCCAGCTAATGCCGGATCAAACACAGGATGTCGCTGTGTATGTTTCACCCTCCATCCCTCGACGCATGCCGTGTCCACTAACCGCCAATCTGCCCAATACAGGTCCCAGGAGACAAGTGCTGGCCGTCGACTGTTGGCTGGAAGGCCATCAACCTGCTCTTGGGCAACACTTTGATCAAGACGGAGCCAATTGCCCAATCCTGCTACGATGGCCCTGCCAAAGACCTCGACCACTGCAGCTATGTCACCGACATGTGGACAGACCAAGACTTCCAAGGCAGCGATCCCATCGGACGCGCGTACCCTTACAATATCACTTGTCCCACGGTCGATTACGATACGGGCGAGGTCCCCGAGAAGCAATGCATCCTCGGCCAGCTGCCCACGTACGCCGTTCGCGCCACGAATCGATTGCACATCTACGGCGCTCTCCTTGTCGCGCGACTGTATAACATCCGCTTGACTGTATCGAGCACCGGACATGACCTGCTCGGTCGCGGCGACGGCTACGGTAGTCTCGCGCTCTGGCTGCGCCATTACAGGAACGATATCAAGTTCCAGGCGCAGTTCCAGTCTGCCAGTCGCTGCGCAAAGTCTGGCTGGACAGGCAGCGCCATCCACATTGATGGTGCATACCAGTGGCGCGACGTCTACAAGGTCGCGCAAGACAATAATGTCATTGTCGTCGGCGGCGGCTCACCCACGCCTGGTGCCATCGGAGGATGGCCATCAGGAGGTGGTCACGGTCCTGCGACGCGCAATTACGGCCTTGGCGCAGACCAGATCCTCGAGCTCGACGTGCTCCTCGCTGATGGGC